GTTCCGGATGACTCGAAGACGAAGCTAACGACGAATGAAGATGGCAGGGCGTGAATGTAGTTTCCTTGTCCGTCCAGAAGTGTGTCTTCTGCTTCTCGGTCGCCATGCTGTTTGCTTGTTTTTCCGGGAGTTACTGCACTGCTATATACTGAACTGCTGCTACTACACCTCCTTCTTCGCCCGGGTGAATGCCCGCGAAAGAAAAAGTGGTGCATGCGCAGAATGGTGAGTCCGACTCCAATCCAAGTGGATATATGCAGCAATAATTACTTATAATTATTCAATCGAATTATCTAGGTGTGTTAGTCGAGCTACGGATAGTCCAATTTCAGTTGGACTAAGCTGTTTACATGCATTTAAAAGTCCGGTTTCAGTCGGACTAAACCAAAAATTCGATTTTCTCAGCTGCGAGTGTTTAGACACAGAGAGCCGGATTGGCGAGTTGATCCGAGGTGCCCAATTTTCCGTCGCGTAGGGCAGAACCCTTTTAGTTTAAAAAGACCAAAGAGGCCTTCCGCAACGGGAGGGACTGTTGATGAGGCCACACGTGCCCACGACCCACTGGCGGTGGACTAACAGGAAACAGCTGATAGCAGGAATGAGCAGCTAGTAGCAAGAGGGAAACGCAAACCTGACAGACACTGTAAAGATGAGCAACTGAGGAGACAAAGAATTGCGCGCCCTCCTTGTCCTCGCAAACGAAGAGGCCATTAACCATCAGATGACGGGAACAGTGAGGAATGGGCCGACTTACGAGAGAATCACCAAAGGACTGACCAGCCGCGGCTTCCCTCCCACGTCACTGTTTACGTCACACGCTGAGCTACATGTTTTGTTACTTGCTCACGCCCCCCATTGCCCCGAAAAAGGTGCATTCTGTATAAACAAAACTAGGTAGACGGCATTTTGCCGCACTCCCCGATTTTGTTTTTATACTGCCAATGCTGAAAAAGACTGATTGGGCTTTCCTGCAAATTTGCACAATTCCTATCTAAAAGGTGCTTGTGTCACATCAGCGAGGTGCTCCAATGTTGCCAAAGCCACTGTCATGACACACTGCTGTAGCAATTTGTAGTGACCTTACCACTTATTTATCACATTTCTGCAAACCATAATTGTGGAAAAATCTTGATAATCATTATTATTTAACATGACATCAATGATTCATTCATATAGTGCTCATGTTGAAATTGACTTCACAAAGTGCTTCACAGAAAAGAGACTATCACTAACAGGTAGACGAATGTAAATAAAAAATACAGATGAAATTTACAATTAAAAAATAATTTTAAATTCACTTAATAAATGCGCCTTTTATTGAGATTTCACAGAGCACTGTGGAACCTGCAAATATAATAACACAATCAGGGAAATAGGCAACCTAAAACGATGTTATCCCTCTCTCAACTTATATTTAATCTTGTCCTTATCGTATCACCTGCAGCTATCTCAGCTAAAACTGTGTGTATGACTGGTCTGAAGCATGCATGAGGTGCGCACATTCACACTACACATTCATTCTTTATAGTTTATGAGGAGGAAAAGGCATGTTTTTTGTGCATACACATGGTTTATGCATCTGGCCCCTGGTGTTTGGGCTGTGTTCACTCTCCCCTGCTGTATTGGCATGTACCAATTTCGTTGGCCCATTGAGGAAATCCATCTTGCTTACCACTCACACTACACATTCAACAACAAAAAACAACATATTTCAACATCACAACATAACTGGAGGCATGCTGACCCTCTGCCATTATGGCACAATGACGCGCCAACTGACTGGTGATGTGCCAGTTACACTCCAATCTTGCAACTTTCTCTGGCGTGCCTCAATAGTCTGTGACATTACAAAGTGTGTGAAAGCCCTGAAGAACAGAGAGCAGAGAAAGGTGAGGAAGTGTGGGTAGGGAAAAGGAACGGAGAGAGAGGAAAGCGTAACCTGAGGCTAGCGGGTAAGAGCATTTAACAGTACAAACAGAAAACGGATGGGAAACTGCCAACGGGCTGCTGACTTAACACAGTGTAAAGGAAGGAAAGAGAGAAGAGAGACAAGAGGAGTGGGGAGGAATACCGTGGGCTGGAGACAATTTAACAGTATTCTTCAGGGATGAACACAGCATGGAGTCTACACCCACTCTCAAAGTATGCACATTTAAATCCTTTTGCTCAAACACACACACAGTTTACAGAGGTATGCAGCCGGCTGGTATGTAAACTGATGGGGACAGAGCGTCCTGCTCTATTTGGGTCTTATGACCTGCAGCAGTCCAAATGGTCTCATGATTTGATGGAGCAGGACAATGAAGTCCAGGGTGAAAAAAAAACAAAAAAACAAAACAACAACAAAAAAAAAAACTCTTTTGCTTTGCCTATAAATAGAAAATGTGAGTTAAGAACTTCCATCAGTTGCTCACTTATTTTTCATCCTGCAACAACCACGCAGATCCATGTAACTCAAGGAGATGTTGTATGTGCAAGGATGGAGACAGTTGACAAAACTTGTAGTCAAAATATACAAACCTGCTTAAATTACACGGGGAGAAAAATAAGACTGTGGGAGGCAGAAACAGCAAATGCCTTGCGAGAACTGAGAGCTGTGAATTTCTCTCTCAGTGCAGCAGAGGATAGAGGGTTGGTGCTCTGACTGCAGCTGACATCTAAAGGTGTGAAGACACTGTGTTCATGTGCATGTTATGTGTCATGCATGTTTCTACTATACTAGTCCTACATATATATGAGGTGAAAACATGTCTGTTGGGACTGTGGATCCCTTCCTGGCAGGAGAGGAGAAATGTGTCAGCCTCAAGTGATATTAGGAGAGTGTAAAGTTCATGCGTGTGGAAGCGGATGTGTTTCAGTGTTAGAATGCTACATGAAATGTGTAAATGTCAGCATTTCATGAATATACTTTAAAGGGACCGTTCAACCCCAAATCAAAATTTCATATTTTTCCTTTTTTATGTAGTGCTATTCATCAGTCTGGAGTGTTTTAGTTTGAGCTGTCAAGTGTTGGGTTTATTGGCCAGAGAGATGTGTGCCTTCTCTCCAGTATAATGGAAGTAGACTGCACTGGGCTTGTGGTGTTCAAAGCATCAAAAATAATGAATATAAGATATTGAAAACCTCAACAGTATCCTTGTTGTGAGCAGTTTCATGTAGGAACTATTTTCTACATACCAAACTTCACCGGCCGAATGAAAAACGTTAGGTGATGCATGGTGTAGTGTTAGAGGAGGTGCAGGAAGTTTAAGTGACTACAGGCCCGTTTCCACTGAAGAAGTTCCTGGTACTATTTGGGAGGCAGGAACTTTACAGGAATGTCCTCTCTCTCGGCCCTCTCAACCGCCGTGTCTCCACTGAGAGAGCGGAGTAGGAAAGTTACCGGGCTCTGGATGTGACGTAATCGTTGCGCGACCATTTTGCCCGGGGCGACGCGGCAAAGAAACAAACAAAGAAGAACAACAACAAAGAAGAAGAAGCAGAAGTATGAAGCAGAAGTGAGAAGAAGAAAGCAGACATAAGAAAGACGATTATCAACATGGAAGGAGCTGAGGTGGTTGCTGGGTTTCTGGCGTGTCTCTTCGTTTACATGGCGGTGGAAGCTACGAACAAGAGGAGAAGATATTTTGTCGCTTTCTGTTGACGTCACATCCCGCCTTGAGTATATCCAATCAGCGCCAACATAAACCCCAAGCCCCACCCAGGAGTTTTTCGGGGCCGTTCTGAGTACCTACTCCGAGGCAGGGTCTTGTTTAGCCCCTGTAAAAGTTCCGTAACTCTGTCCTTCGGGGGTGGTTCCTGCGGTGGAGACACACAACAACAGCCCTGGCCCCGTAAAATTACCCCGAAGTTCCTGTGGTGGAAACGGGCCTTACTACTAATAGTAACACTTTCCACGTGTTGATAATCCTAAAATATCATGCTTGGGTGAGGAAAAAAAGTGAACAGGACAGTAGTGTCTTGCTGCCATCTTGACAAAGCACTCCAAGATGCTTTCACTTCGGCTGTCTGTCCATAGCCGTAGTAAGCCATTTTAGTTTGAATCCATGCTTCAACTAGGTGTTAATTATAATATTCTGATGCGCGTTTTGCAAATCAATGTATTTCTGTAAACAGTGACGTCGATTATTGATGAATCGCCCCAGCACTACAGCACAAGATCTAAACATTAATGGCGTCCTTGGCTGAGCTGTAACACTGTCTAACTGTCTAAGTGGTGCTAGATGGGCTAGTAGTAGATGCACTTTTCCTTCGGCGCTGTGATACAGTTGGTGGGTTTATTTTGGTAGAAAGAAAATAGTTCCTTCACGGAACAAGGTCTGTGGGTTATCTTGAGTAACTGGGTCATGATTTCTAGAAAGAGACATCGCTGTTGATCTTTTTCTTTTTAAGTATTTTTGGCACCAAAAGCTGAGTGTTATCTAGTTCCATTATATCCGACAGGCAAGACATCTCTAGGACTGATATCCCCAACACTCGACAACTCACACCAAAACAATCTTGATTCATGATAAACAGTGCTACAGTTAAGAGGAAATATGTTTTTGATTTTGAGGTGAAGTATCCCCTCAAGTAGCTTGATAATTTGGACTTAATCATTGTTTTATTTCATTATTTTTGAGTCGTTGAACAAAGTACTTTCTGGGTGTATCAAGACCACTTCCTTGTAAGAGAACAGTTAATGAAAGTACTATATGGAGATTAAACTGAACAGAACTACATACTGCTGTGCTTAATGTATGTTAATACTACTTTAAAAAGCTATGTGCTGATATGACAGTGTGATATTACATTACCAACTATTTTGATTTAGATTTAAGCCCCTTATTGAATATTGTTGCATTAGCATATTTCATCTCACAGTCATACTTCTATTGCATAAGAAAAAGGACATTTTTCTCCTTAAACTTGCTTTACAATAATTTAAATTGCGATACAATCATTGGATGTGAGTGTAGGAACTGTTTACTGTGCTCAACTGCTGCATGTTATGTCCTTACCTTGTTAGGCTGACTAAAGAAGGGGTTGCCAGCGCAGCGCTGGTTGATGACGTCTCTGATCAGGTGTTTCTGTCCATTGTAGGTGGTGAGGATGCTGATGCGGTCAGCAGGGTAGCCTAGCAGACGCATGTACATGTACAAAGCCACGCTATACTCCGCCTCTGCCAAGTTCTTCACAGAAAGAGAGAAAAAAAGGGGAGATAAGATTATAATTATTATATTTTAACTATGCAGTATTATACACAAGTAATGAGAGAGGAAAAGCACCTCTGAAAGCAACTGTCTCTCAATGCAGTCATTTTGTAGTGAATCAAAGCACTGAGCTGAATTACCCACATACACCTGTCTCTCTTCTTATCAGCACACCCAGCGCTGTCTGCTGTGTTTGACACCTTGCTGATCTCATTCCCTTGTACTTTAACATTATGCTCTGGCCCTTTCTCGCTTGTCAAGTGTTTAACTTTCAGCCAGATAAAAGCCCACTCATTCATGCATGAGTAGCCATCTGATTTGGGTTGGAATTAATTGCCTCAGACAGAGCTCGACACCACCACTTGCCAAGCTGGGACAAAATGTCCCATTCTAGGATCCCCTGCACTGAAAGAAGAAAGGGCGAATAGCATATTTCTACTGTAGCTTTGATATTCAATAAGTATAGAGTAGCTGACTCTTTTAGAAGTGTGGCAAAAGGCTGCATCATCCTAAGTTTCATTACTTAGTGTGATGGCAGACTGTTATAACATACTAACATTATCAAATCAGTAATATTTTAACTAGGAAATGCAGAATTTTCATTTTTCTTTCCAGATTCTATACAAAGGAGGAGGCCTTGGTGCTTATGTATAAAACAACAACATTGTCTTAAACATCACGACAAATGTCCAGGCCCAAGGACAACAACACAACATCCTGTCCTCCAAATGTAACTAAATGTAAAGGCCAGCACTGCATGCATCATTCGACCATTTCACAATCAACAAATTCCTCAGGATGTGCATGTGCATCCTGGCTCCAAGGCTACACTCTGCCCTTCAAAATGTGAACAAAAAAAGAAAAGAAAAAAAGGCAACAGTATGCATTATTCATCCACTTTCAATTAAGCCTGGACCGCAGCCTCACATCTTTGATAATAATTTATGCAGCTTCATCAACAGTTCCTGATCCAGCAGCACTGGAGTCAACACATCATAAACAGTGACAGCCTTTGTTCTTCTCCCCCTGTTACCTGTCTCCAAATGGCACGCACCGTGTTTTCACGGATAGAAATGGTGCATCCAAGTTGGGCAGTACATGTTAGGAATGAAATGGACAGTATTCAACATTATCTACAAAATGTTGAAAACCACAATGAAATATTTCAGCAATGTCAGATGATTAATCTGCCCACGAGACAGATATTTTGGGAGTCACATGTGGTCCTTGGTGGCCTTGTCATACTCATTCTGTTCGTACCGTTACGATTAGTTCCTTGTGAAACATGATAAGGGAGCACTTCATTTGATATTTGGGACCAAGTGTGTTTCTACAAGTACCTAATCTAAGTTGTGTGTCTCAAAAGATACTTTTGAGATAGCTTTACAGTTTTGCTGTAGAGAAAAAAGATCACGAGAACCATAAAGACATGCAAGAGTCTCCCAGACACGCAAGAGGAGTAATGTATAAGCAGACATGTGGTTGGCATTTCCAGCTTTGCCTGCCTCATGTGCATATTTAACATAAATGTGATCTAATGCCCCAACACCCCAGAGAACTTGTTAACCATAACAAGGTCAGACCCAACGCACTGGAGTTTGAGCCAATGGCCCTAGGCTACATGAGGACTGGGAGGATGGAGGGATGAAACAGAAACAAGACAAACAGGGAGAGACTGAGGATACAAAAAAATAAAAGGAAATAAGAGTAGTAAATCTAGACTACCAGTGAGTAAATCCCATAAAGCTTTTTACTCTTATGTCATTTAAAGTGTAGCTTGCGAAGCAGAAAAGCTTTGAGTAACAAGCCCAGTGGCTGAGAAAAGCCCTTTTCTAACAACAGAAGATGTGGATTTAGATAAGCATCCTACCCTTTATGAGCCATTTGACAACTTGGAAAGTACTATCAACGGGCTGAGACTCAATATGGAAAGTGCTTTAACAAATGAGGCAAGAAAGCAGGAACAGACCTTTGGACTGTGAAGTGTTTGAGTGTACGCACGAGTGTTAGTGTGTATGACGGATGTGCAGTTCCTGCCTAAGTGCAAAGCAGGGCTGTGGTAGTGTTTGTTCAGCTGTGACAGTCATTCAGCATGCACTGGATACAATTGCTTCTCTAGTGTCCAATTTATCCCTTCTGGTTCCTAGGGAAGTGCAAGCATGTGTGTGAAAGTGTGTGCGCATATGTAGTTGTGTATGTGTGTGTGAACAGCATAGTGAGTGATACAGGCAATTCCCCTGAGGAGCCTGAAAATGGCAAAAGGCAAAAGGAGTCGAGGTTCATGTGACCCGGTGCCTCGAGAAGTGCACATGGTCTGGATTTAAGAACAATAAGGAGCTTCACGGACATGAGCATGCAAGATGTTAAACACTGCCGTAACATTCATTAAGCAAAGTGATATGTTTATTGGCCATGCAGCTTATAAACAAATCAGTATCTTAAATGATGTATTACTAATTAGTGTCTGAGATCAAGTACTCCTTGATTTTTGACGACTACAAGCTCTGTTGAGTCCTGGAAATTGTTGTGGTTATTGTAAAATATCTCTCTTATCTTTCATAACTGTTCTGGTTTCGGCTTACTCCCTTTATTAAAGAGGAACCACTGAATAATCTAGTATAGTCACTGCTTACATTTCAGTACTTAAAATGTTACCATCACACTTGATAGTTTTGCTGTTACATTTGACAGTAACATTTGGGCTCCTGTGCTGGTGTGGTGCCAGAGGAAGCATTCTTTTTTTTTTTTTTTTTTAACACACCCCTCTCAACCCTGCTTTCCGCCCACACACAGTCTTGAGTGTCTCAGCAATGTCATGATGAAACACAATCTGGCTCCTGGTGTGAAGGACAAACCCACTGGTCTGTGCTGGGCAGCCTAAGCAGGGTTATGAATATATCATACGGGCCGGTAGCTAAATCATTAAAATTTTAAAATGAATGAACTACTGTACAACAAGCGATTCAGAGGAAATGGAGGTTAGGAGAAATACTGTTCTCTGCTCTGGTGGAACTAAGTGTGCATGAGTGTGTATCCGTGTAAAGGAGTGTCTAAATTGTATTACAAAACTGCCACACATTGTGTAACACAAACAACTTCTGCAACAATGTAATATGTACCTGTGCTACAGACACACTGGGCATTATACACTGGGTTTTCACAGTCCTCCAAATTAAGGTAACAGGTCTTTGAGGGTTCCTGCTGTAGGCAGCAGTGTATATACAACTGAAAACATGTCTATCCTTCGTACTTATTCCAGTTTTGTTTTGGTTAGTTTTCACAATTACATTAACTGTTTTTATTTTCTAGAAATAACTATTCTAGTTATAGTCATAGTTTGACTTTTGCCATAGATTTCCAAAGTAGAAGAAAGGGGTTTGAATGAGTCATATAACTGGTAGATATACTGAGTACAGGTAACAGTTGTGCTTTATTGATATATGTGTATAGGGCTGTCAAAATATCCGCAATCCCATGCTACTGACATGCCAACTGCAGGGGATGGAAAGCAACTGCCAGTACCTTTATGTTCATGCTTTTTTTTTTTTTTTTCATGAGAGCACCATGTATTTACACAATGCTACAAATGCCAGCACCATGATGACACCATGAATGTCTATTCTGTGTTAGACTCACAAGTCAGTCTTTAGACACTTTGCTTAACTAAAGACTGATGACTTTCTCCCTGATTTTGTGTTTAGATGGGAGGATACAATTTCAGAGTTCAAAAAAACTCCCTACGTTGCAGAACCAATAGTAAATCTGCAGGGCGGTTCTTCGGTGGCTCGCTGAACTCTTGTGCTTGTAACATAGTCTCACTAGAAACACGTGTAGCGGTACAAAATGGCTCAGCAGCGCTTGCAGAAAACTCCGTCAAAGTTAGTGGATGTTTGTCGCGTTTGCGTCTGGAAAAAATATTTTCTTCACGGATGAGCACACGTTTGATAAAATGGAGTTTAATCTCTTGGCATCCATTTTCAAGCTCTCTGTGTGTTTGTTTCCTTGCGGACAAGAAAAGGGGGAGCGCACATTTCCGAGAAGGAGTGTCCTTTTTCGGCCGTTTTCACCGGTGTGTTAAACACACTTTAGAAAGGAGTGTCCCCAGACTATCAGAGGGTGGAGATCTCTGATTGTCTGGTGGCGAGACTAATTCTGTGTTGATCACTGCACATTTACTGTCTTTTTCTGGTTGCTGAGAGTTGAAAAATATTCAACTTGGAGTAAAACACCCATCGCTGTCACTTGTTAATGGTCTGGCCCCATCCTACATCACAGACCTTCTAACCCTCTATTCTGGCTGTCCCACGCTCCAGACTTAAGCTCGAGGGTGATTGTGCCTTTGCTGTGTCTGCTCCCAAACTGTGGAAGAGCATGTCCCTCCCAATCAGATCTGCCCCCTCCACTGACTCATTTAAGTCCAGGCTAAAATCCTACTTTATTTCATTAGTGTGAGTCCCCCTGATGTGGTCTTCCCTGACGTGTGCCTGTGTGTGTTGTGTCTCTAAATGTGTGAGCTATGTACCTGACAGTTATGTCGCCTTTTATGTATGCGTTTTTTAGCATTTTATTCCACTTTGGTCAACGTGAGTACTTTTTAAATGTGCTTTAAAAAGACATTTGAGTTGAGTTGAGTTGTTACCCAGAAATTCAAGCAAAGTAGTGAAGGGGCAGGACAGATACCACAAAGACCAACCCTTACGTTGCTGAACAACAACAACAGAGGAAAATTAATACTGAACCCACGTAGACCTGCAGGTCCTCTTTTCTAAGTGATTCAGCCTTCCCTTCATCCAGAGCAAGGGCCAGAGCCTGTAGATACTCTACCTTGAGCCAACATTTTTACTTCCACTGATACTCCGTATCATAAAAAACAGACACAACAAAAGCGCCTCAGCTGAAAAACACTGCGCACCTTATTGCCTTTCAGTTTTCTGCATTTAACAGTGACCAAGTATTTAATTTTTTAACTGTGCCATCTTTGTCATTTGAAAAGCAACAATATACCTTGATAATAAAGCTTATGTACAAATCATTAAAATCCGGATAAGCAATTTGCAAAAACAACAAGAAAAGGTTGTAATACCACATATAGCACAGCTGAGCCACCCTAAGTCACCACATGAGAAATTCTTTCACCACAACAGCTCTATTTGTCTGTGTGTGTGTGGTAGTGTGCACTTCTACTGACCTGGTAAAAGTATGGGTTGGGCTCAGACTCTCCCACCCCATTGAAGTCCTCCACATTTATTAGCTGGAAGTCAAAGGTCAAGCCCGGGTTGGGAACCTGGAACTCAGGCAGTTGCTGGACATGAGGCAGGTTCCCCAGGTGTTTGTAGCGCCAGTTATAGAGGTTACACAGGCTGTGGGACAGAAAGACAAACACACATTAGGTCACATGGTTATGTCCTATCTGCGAGGATACAGTACCAGTCAAATACGAGTCTTACTTCGTGTTCAGTCATGGTGACCTACCTTGCCCGAGCACGGCCCTGTGCATCCAGATCTATGGTGGGTACTCCAAGGCGCACAAATCGGGTGAAGAGAGACTGCTCCATGTTGGAGTACTTCTGGAAGGCCATGTTCTTGATAACAGGGGGCAACTGATGGTGGTCCCCAATCATGATCCAACGTTTTAGCCTGCTGTAGCCATCCTCTGGGTTCTGTAAGACAAAAATAAGTGGTAAGAGCACCTGTTACAGAGGACACCTAAACCGTCTGTCCTAGACTCAGTAATCTTTTTCCTCTTTTTTTTTTTTTTTTTTAACAACTTAATTAAATTTTCTTTTTGTCTAATCACTTGATGAGATTATATACTGTATGCAAAATCAGATCTTCAGCAGATAATAACATTTAACTCCAAGTGGGCAGTAAAGCATGAAGGGCCTGTACAGTTGTCTACGTCATGCCGCCAGGTTTTGCTCATTAGATGTGGTTTATTTGGAGGTTGACCTCGGACAAATCTGATATACCAACCATTGCGAATCAAGACTTGATTTAATCACTTAAATGACTGATAAGGGTCGAATGGCTGAATAAGGAAAGCGAAGGGGAGGCGGAGGAGAAATAAACAGTTTCGCTGTGACGTATACCCGGCAGAAGGCTCGGACTGTGACTCACTAGAGAAGAGAGATAAAGACAGGATCTCTGGCGAGGTCGTTGAATGAGCTGATGTGCTTAATGATCTCATATGTAAACAGACATTAGCACTATCTTGGACAATTAGGCACAACTACCAAAGACAAGCACCATTACTGTGTTTGGAGCCCATCAGTCAGACCTTAATAGAGGAAGTCAGGTGGCAGAAAGTGGAGTCCTGAGTAAAGGATTAAACTAGGTTTGTTAGTTTATGACAGTGCTGAGGTCTAGCAGCAAGTTTTCTGACGAGGCATGGCTATAGTTTTTCCAATAGTTGAGATTAACAGCTCAAATGTTCAGTCTTGAGACCTTTACACACTGGGGACGTGCCAAATAAATAACACAAAAATGCAAAATACTTGGCTGCTGATATTTTGCAGCAAAACTATTCATTCCTGCAGCCATGCAAATTTGCAAAAATTCCACAATCCTATTGACCCAGAGCAACGTTTAGTAGTCTATTTTTTTCTCCTCTCTTTTTCCCTTTTTTCCCTTCTTCGCAGGTATAGAAAAATACACATGGTTTGGCTTAAAAAACAACGTTGTTACTAACGTAATGTAACCTCATTCGTATGCTCCACATCCTGGCACATTATGTTGTTATTGAAATAACTCAATTGACTTTTTGTTTCACATAGGAAAAGAACAGCAGTCTCCTGGGTGAAAGTCTGGAGTTTGTTTGACCCATTCACCTCCCCTCCGACCTGCCCAATGCGCACTTTCTTGCTCTCTGTACCGTAACAGTTGCTCAGAGCACCAAAAAAATGCCATTGAGTCTGCTGCATGTCATACCCTCGCTAAAGGGTGTCTCTATGTGTCCGTATCTGACGTCCAGAGCCACTGACCAAGCATCTGTATTTGACAAGTTGGGTGAGAGACTGGGTTGTTGAATATCCCAAAATATTGTCCATTAACCACAGAGGTTTATTGTCTTCACATGATGGGTTTCGAGGCTGTACATCCACCTCCCCCAAAAACCAAAATAAACATCTTCAAAAAATAAACGGCCTTGTCATGTAGCATTTAGACAAGGTTGCTGAGGGAGAACGGGGTGTAAGGGATGCTCTTATACGATTGCAGTTGACCGTGCAGAGAGTAACTGCGTGAGGAATATCTTACATAGTGCATCAGACAGAAAACAGCTTGTAGCGGGGACAACAATGAAAGCAATGATAGGGGAGATACGGAGATGAAGAGTGATTACATAGACAAAAAAAAACATGGAGACAGATGCAGAGAGAAGGACAAAGAGGTAAATTATTACCCCTTCAGTCCAGGAAGCTACTGTATGTCTGACTCAGATCTCTCTTAGGCTTCTTTTTTGGTAGCGTTTGGAAGTCTGTCTGAGGTAAGTTGTTGTAAAGCCCAAGATACTGTGAGCCATTTTGAGTTTTATTCTAGCAAAAAACTGAAAAGTAAATGAGTTCCCGCAGCTTAACAGTTACACAATGTCTAGGGATTTTATTGTGAAAGCTAAAAACAGAAGGAGTGAATCTGGTATGTGCTGCTTTGCCAAGGTGGAAAGAAGTTCTAAGGTTGCCCTCTTGGTTTGGACTTAGCCTACATGTGATTGACTGAAGCCTTCATTCACAGTGCAAAAACTCAACTTGAAAAAAGACAAGTTTGAGATTTAGTCAGGACAGGGTTACCTGTAGCAGGAGGGGGATGAAGGTCTCAATCTCCAGAATCTGGGCAGCTTCCTCCATCAGGATGTTGTCATACTATCAAAGAGAATCAGCAATTTAAACCAAGCACTTAACGTAACTACATTAAATACAAGCTTAACCAGGCTGCTGTCTTTATTTCAACTGAGAAGAGTGTACCTTAAATCCCAGCTCCACCAGGTCATGACGTTTGAGCGCAGCATGTGTACAGGTCATGGCAATGATTTTGGCTTCTTTCACGAGCAGATACTTGGAGCGGTCCAGTCCACTCCTCAGCAGCTCAAAGGCCCTGAACTCCTGCAGGGTAGACAAGAGAGAAAGTGAGGGTTAGGAGAAATATTTAGGAACACAACTAGCGAAGAGAAATCAAGAAAAACAGCAACCTCCCACAGGCAATTTAAAACTACTTGTATATAGACCTCTGGGAAGACTTAAACAATCTCAGACTTATTAACATACTGTAGATATGCATTCATCTATTTATGAATGAAGTTAAGTTTTACTTTCATGTTTCATACAGACTGTGGATGGGTGGGTGTGGGTAGGGGGAACTTAAATCATGGTATCCTGACAAAATGATGGATGATTACTGTCACAGATGATGGATAAGGTGATTATCTAAGGTGAAATAATCACACCTCTAAAAGAAAAAAGGCAAAGTTCAATTCTCAGATCCAACACCGATACATCTTTGTGTCTACCCACATTTATAAACTGTAGGGTGGCGTATCCCCGCCATCTTAATAGCTCCAACTGCCTCTACTTTTGATTCATAGTCATGTTCAGTCGTAAAATATGTTGCAGTGATTGCCAATCTGTCCGTCTTTTAATTAAACATACAATTAACATAATCCCTCTGCCTTCTATTTTCATTAGGAAACAGTCTCCTCTTTTCCCATGATGCAGTGTAACAGAGGTCAGCGAGCCACAGGGCTGCTCTGCAGACAGTATACTGGGTGTAGTTTGCTGTTCAATAACTGCAGCTTGAGCAGTACTAAAGCACAGATTTCCTTACAGGGCTTATGCAGCAATGGAAATTTGAGGGCCAGTTTTTACACAAAATCTGAGCCACTTCACTTCAGAGTGTCGATATCATGGCAGTATGAAAACCGCGCAGTGGGGGAGAAGCACAGAGGAGCAATGTGGGTAAACAGGCGTGCTATTTTCAGGTCGCCACACTGGCTCTGTAGGGGTTGGGAAGGGAGAGAGGAGGAGAGGACGGAAGAAGTGGACTCGGACAGCACTGGGGTATAAATATTTGATGCGTTACTATTTTAGCATTAATATTAAACCAATCAAAACATGCAATATTGATGAGATCTATTTTTAACCCCCATGGCTCCAGAGCGGTTGAAGGGTGAAATCAAGATGGTAAGGATTCACAGACACTGAGAAGAGAGGGAAGAGAGGAAAAAAGTAAACAGTGGTGGGACTGCAGAGGAAGAAACAAGAGATGTCTACACAGGAGGAACCCGGGAGGCACATTGTGTTGCTGTCTGTCTGTCTAGCAATGTGTTCTTTGGATTTTCCTATGACAGCTTATTCCAAACTGCTTTTACATTTGAAGAGGCAGACAGATAAGCAAAATCAGCACATTGTTGCTTTTGTCTACCCTGCACCACAGACAGAAATACCTCTTAATGGGCGTACAGATTTCACTGCAGCATGGGTGAGGCCGAGGGAGGAGGGAGAGGTGCTGTGATGCAGTGATACAGAGGCCAGCCAGATAAATCAAGGTCACCACACATGTTGGGATATTACCTCCAGCCAATAACTTCTTTATTGCTTTTCGGAGACCTTCTTGGTGTTCCCATAAATCTGAAATGTTATTGTTATCCCTATAGAAATACTCGACGGACTGAGGAGGAATTATAACACATTCAGCTGTGTGTTTGTCAGTGGGAAAGAGCGTGAAAAGAGTGACAGGGAGGGTAAAAAAGAGGAGCAGCAATAGCCTGCATCACTTTGTTGTACCAACTATCTTTTCAAAAGGGTCAGCAATCATATCTACAAATACGCTGTTAAGTATCTTATATAATGTTTCATTATAGCAACTAAAGAAAAGAGACAGGTGATGACTAAAGCTCAGAGAGATGCAAAATTGGCAGAAGAGCTGCTTATGAGCAGACACATCCACACAGACACAGACAGTGTCTGTTCAATCACTATTAATCTACAACAACCTGTCACTGTGGTGGCTTGGTCAGCACAGTTTGTTGTGCATGGGTGATTGTGAAACACCTGGACACAGTCTGTGAGTACAATCAAATACAGCTGACACAGCCTCTGTGAGTAAGGGCAATACATGTTTACCTCAGACTAGCTGGAGGTGATGTGCGCCTGTGTGCTTCTAATTAATTCAATCTAACTGTAATGGCATGTGCTCTATAAATAAAATTGCCTTTTTGCACTGAAGTAGCCTCCTTACATCCCGCTGGGTGTTGCTCAGCAGTGAGGAAACTAGTACACTGTGTGTGTGTGTGTGTGTGGGTGTGTGTGTGTGTGTGACATTCTTACCTCCAGCTGGGTAAATATTTTCTTGATGTGGCGGTAGCAGCCCTCTGCGATGTCCATGTCCTCTTCATATGACCGGCCCTTGAACACAGGCTGGGGGGCGTTGGAGAAGTACTTGTGGAAGGGAAAGTGTGCTGCCACAGCTTGCACCTCCACCTTCTTGCCCTGTTTGGGCCTGACTTTGCTCATGTACTCTTCCCAGCGAGAGATCACCTGTGGTGGGAGAGACAGCAAACTTTCAATACCCTCTAAATGTTAAGAGGCTGAAACCCAGTAGTGATAGTGATTACGATCCAGTACTAGTATCAGTGCCCTTAAAGTAAAGTGCCAATACCAATAGAGTACATCATTCGATACCTGTAATATGAATGGAGTGGCATGTACTATAGTCATAATTCTGAATGTTTTGGTAGAATTTCAGCATTTAACTTCACCAAACCACGGACTGTATTGATTGTAGCTGTTGCTGTAGCTCAGTGTGAGCTCTACGCCATGGACAGAGAGTCCATCTGGCCTCACACACACACAGTGACAGGGCTAACTGTTCATATGGTTTACGTTACAGTTTACATTACCAAACAGTTTTTAACAACTAAGCCGAGCTGTTTTGATGTTGTTGTGAGTTTGTTTGGACCGTTTTAACAGCTGCAGATGTGTTAGCTTGTGCCAACTGACTTGATGTTGAACTGAACGTTCTTAAGGGGGGAGAGTGCCTCCGGAGTAGGCAGCAACAGAAAGTTCCTTGATCCAGTGGGGAGTCTGGACAGTCCAGGATCAAAAGGATCAAATACAGGCATCAATTGAATGGTAACATTTCACTACTACTTGGTACTGGGTGATTTCAGTCGATAACCTTAATGCACAGGTTCCCAACTAGTGGGTCATGGTCCAAAAGTGGGTTGCAGGTCCATTTCGGATGGACCGCAAGTGACTCGTGAACGTGTGAAGTTTGTTAAAAACACACTTTTTTTGAAGTACAGTAAATTTCTGACACAAGCTTTTATTTTGAAGGGACGACGTTTTCCTGTTGATAGAGTGAGTGAATAACAAGCCCTTTTTAGACAGGAATTGTGCAAATTTGCAGGAAAGCCCAATCAGTCTTTTTTCAGCATTGGCAGTATAAAAACAAAATTGGGGAGTGCAGCAAAATGCTGCCTGCAGCTACTTAACTGAGACAAAACACAAGTTAGTATGATGCTGGATATATTTAACTTTGTGGACCTTGAACTTATGACTAAGGAGCAATCTGGAGCCTGTGGCTGGACCAGCTGGGAACCACTGCCTTAAAAGGTATCAAATACCAATACCCAGCCCTACACACATGCTTGTGGCTTGTATGAATTATGGTTCTATGTGTTTTTATGTGATCACACACAAATAGGTCTTCTGACTTCTTAAGTGCCTGAAAGGTGGAGAGGGGTGGTATGCATGACTCGCAGCACTGATATTGTGCTGACAGAAAAATCACAACTGTTCACAACTGTTCACAACAAAGGACTGTGGCAGCACAGTGGTTGTAGCTTGATTTAGCCACTAAATAAATAAACTCACTAAGGTCCTTTATAGTATGCACACTGCACAAGAGCTGACTTTGTTGATGCCTGTCTGAGGTCTACAAAATGCCGTACAAGCACACAGTGGGTGTTCTGCATGGCTTTGCCCAGCCTGTATTTTCTCTACAATTATTTGACCATAGCAATAAACACATTACACAGAAATGTACAAATGGGAACAGACAGCCTCAGTTGTATACAGGTGCCCCTGCTGAGCATCTAATAAACCAGCTTCAACCAAACAGCGGGGTAGCCTAGTTCTATAAATACCCCTATGAAAAACAACATTAAGGGTAACATTAATGAGTCTGCCAGAGGACTAAGCTTAACTGCGTGTTAAATATATGTCTGTACGGACTATTAAGACCACCATCGAAAACCTTAGTTTGTGTATATGTGCCTTGTTATCACTGACAGTGAGTATTATGCTCATGGTCACAGTTTCACTACTCTAGTTCTGTGACATTTGAAGATGTAAATGTCAAGGAGTTGTTACACTGTTGGCCAGTTCTCAGAGCTAAAATAAACACAAGAACTAGAGTTACAATAAAGTGTGTGTTGAGAGTCAAGTCTCTACGCAACACCAAATTAATAAGGAGCCACAGTTGTGTGTGTGTGTGTGTGTGTGTGTGTGTGTGTGTGTGTGTGTGTGTGTGTGTATGTGTGTGGCAGACAACTGACAGATTTCTGGCAAGGTGCAAAAATGGCACCATCAGACATGAACTTTGACACTAGAGCTCGGGTAACGGTGATGGGTATCCAAGTATTTTCTATTGCTTTGATTCACTAGACAACTATCTGCCATAGTAGTTTTAGCTAGCCTATGACCACCACTAAAAAATATTTCACTGGCATCTTCACTGCCTTTACACCATATGACATGCATTAATGTTGTAATGTGATACTTAGGTTTTTCAGAAAAAGAAAAAGATGGATATTAACTGGAGTGCCACATAACACTGGAAATGACAGCTACACACTTCACCTCCTTACGGTACAATTGTTTATAACATCTATTTTAGAACCTTTCTACAGACGCACCGGAAAGCAAGTGAGTAACTGTCTGCAGTAGCATTTTTCCTGCAGCCCGAGAGGACAGTGTTAATTAGGCGACACTAATAAACAGCCAGGCTTGAGACTGTTTCTGGCAAATTTGCAGTCTAGGCAGAGAGCAGTGAGTCTGGGGAATGGAAACTTTAATAACGTCTGGGTTTGATTGGCATGGATATGTCTGAGGAACAGGACAGACAATGCAGAAATCCATTCTAATTAATTCAGCAAAACATCTCCTGGATCCCCTTAACTCTCTCCCTCCCTTTGTAAATCAATATTAACATCAAAACACAAATTTGAAGGATGTTTGGAGGCTTAATAGTCAGACTGAGAGAGGCTGACTGCGAAAAACAACTGGGCGTTTGTGAGGTTTGTTTTGCTAAACTTATATGTTATTAGGAATTTTTTTTTTTTTTGGACAGTATGAATCAATGTCACGAGCAAAATAAGATGAATAGCCTATGCAACGTTGCTTGACTGTTACATTTTGTGACTTTCTCTGCACGGTGCAGAAACACATATACACACACCGAGTTATAGTCTTACCTGGTAGAGGTAGAAGTGTCCTGCAGTCTCACAGGTGTAAGAAACATCTCCCGGGACATCCAAGCTCTCCTGTAACCTCCCCACCTCTCTGAGGAGCTCCAGTCTTCTGGCTAGGACATAGTTAACTCTGCCATATCTGGAGACACAGGACAGCACAGATTAAGAATGATACAATGATGTAAGAAGATTCATGTTTAAGGTTCAACCAGCTGTTTCTAGGATTAAATGCACAATCGGGTCATGGTCTCATTTCAAAAGGACACTAACTCTGTTAATGTTGATACGCTAATATATTATAAAACTTCTGATGCACCATGTGATCAGATTGACTCCTGTCAGTTCCTGTGCTCCAGTATCAACTGCACCGCAAAACAACTGGCGTCAGGACCTAGGTTCATCGACCTAAATGCTGGTGTGGCAACCCAGAAAGAGACCTTAAGATAAACTCCTGCATATAACAAACAGGGGAGATAATATTTCTTTTAATTCAGTCAGGACCACTTTAGTCAAACAAAACTTTATTTCCATTTGCAGTATTATATTTGGCAGTATGGCTCTGTTCTGGGGCCTCTCTGCTTTTCCTAGGCCTACGCAAAAAGACTAAGGTGGAGAGAACACACCTTTTGGCCCTTCCATGGGGAAACGAGTAAAGCTTGAGGCAGAGAACGCAACAAGAACGCATTCCTGCCCTTCCATGCGCATACATGGAAAGCTTAAGGCAGGAAAAGCAGCTGCAAAGACCCTCAGGGAACAGAGCAGCATAAATGACAAACAGAAATGACATTGATAAGCCAGACACAACATGTTAAGGAGGAGGTGGAGTTGAGGCGGGTTGCAGAGGACGCAGCAACAGTAGGAAGGCCAAGGCAGTTTAAACAGGGAGCCCTGGATGAGATTTTCCAATCGGTTGCATTGAAAAGAATCATGTGATCCATCATCAATCAGCTGCTCCATCAGTTGACTGGGCTGTTTGAGATGAGCTGATGTAGCTGGGATGTGAGCTGAGCTTGACATTGTGTCCTGCCTGAACTAACCCTATGCTCCATTTGTGGATTCAGCCTCTGATCTGGATAATTTCCCTCTGTGGCATCAGCCTGTTAAATGTCCACGAATGGATTAATAGTACAGAGTTAATCATGATTATGCGATTGTTGAGTTGATTGTGTGGAATTTTGCTTGTAATTACTGATATTGTGTTTATGCTGTTGGCTGCAAGCAAGCAGGTGGTGAAAAGCCTGGTCGTCTGAGGACACACAGCATTTAACAGAGCAAAATATGTTAAGTATATTGTAAATCTGACCCAGTGGAGTACGATGGTTTAAAGAGGGCAGAGGCTGTCCTTGACTGTACACAAGATTTGTTTAGGTTCTATGTTGCATCCTTTTGTGAAACCAAACAATACTGCTTGAAAACAATTATCAGGTAGCAACGAGACAAGCAGCACACACAGGAAGACAGGAAGTGGGAGGGGTCACAGGGTAATACTAGAGGTGAGCTCTATTTTTAGACCCTCTGCAAAGATCCTCGGTCAGCAGATGACTCAAAGACAGTCACAGTGGTCTGCCTGTTTGGCCTGAATAAAATTAAATAAAAATGGGGAGTGACCTTGCTTCCCAGGATGACGGACCTGTAATGAATTCAGCTACTGAGACAGAAAACCCAGAATAGGTACCCAGGTGTCAACAACAGCATTTATCAACAGCCCCCCCCCCCCCCCCCCCCCTAAATCCAATAAATATAAAGCTTGCACACAACCGCAGAAACTGAATGAGGATGCTGCATTTCATTTCCACCTAGAGCAAAAGTTGCATCATGCCCTTTTCTAGACCAGAAATAATTTTCTTTTACCTAGAATCTATGGTACAAAGAAAGACTGTATACAACTTGGACATTTTGAAGATCTGCCCTATACAGAAACCAACATGCACACTCTGTAGCCTCATTAAAAAAAGCACGAAATTCATTATGAAATGCAGGGAGGCATTGTTAATTGATGATGCTGTAGCTTTCCCTTTGTTAGGCATTCGGGGGAGTGCTGCCTTCTATTTTGTCATCTCGTATACAGTGTTAATTAAAACTCTCTGGCTCTCTCCTCTCGCTTGTGTCAGTGGGGTGGAAGGAGTGTGGAGTCTGCATGTTGTTATGAGGCAGCCAGGCAGGCGGGAACATATTAAATGCTGCTAGCTAAAGCTCTTTCTTTTATGTCAGTGTTTTTGCATAATTTAAAAATGTAACAGACTGCTTCCATGTGCAGACATCCGCTCCCATACACTGCTATTCATATTACAGTCATACACTCGCAGTGAGCATACAGAGAGCGTACCAAATGAGCGACATGCATCAACCCCCTCCCTTCCTCCGCTGGAAGTGTTGCTAAGAGCTATAGGGTGCTCGGTGCCACAGATGGATAAGGTGGTAATTAACAATGAAGGCTATAAGGAAACTTTAAATAGTAACGGCATCAAAATTTAATTAATATCCAATATCACTGAGCTATTTATATCCAGGAACTGGCAAAAAAGCTTTGTTAGCAAAGAAAAAGGAGGTTCTGGCTGATTCATCTAATAACGGTGTTAAATTTAGCTGCAGTCATGTAGAACTGTAAATGTTTTGGGTATCTTGAGATAATCGCGCCTTCTCAAGTCTGTCACGAGTGCTTAAAATGCGCTGCCCCCAAACTTCTCCTTTCCCATCTCACTATGTCTCAGTAGTAAGGACTGAGTCACTATCCTTCAAGGCATTATGTGTGTGTGTGTGTGTGTGTGCGCGCGCGCATGCGTGCACGCTCACACACACAGTGGAGTTTACACAACGACGTGGATGAGAGAGCTGGGAACTACTGGGGCTTCCTTAACAGGACTCTAGTGGTTCCTGTCTGAGGCCATTTGTTCTGGACCCTGCCACCTAAGCTTTATGAAGAATAGCAGCACTGCGTGTTTTATGCATCTATTAGGGTGCAGACAAAGAAAATCCTGTAACAACTATACGTTGGTCTTGTTAAATCGCACTCAGATAATGTCGCCCGCCAGATATTTAAGAGTAGTCCTTCCTGACCAGAGCCAATAAACATTGTAAAGGTCTTAAATTCGTAAAATAAAATGTGTTTATTCATCTGATTCTTTATTAATCAGCTATTCAGTCTTATTGTTGCAAATGAATTATTCATTCAAAATTCATTCTAATGTATTCCTAAGCTTGGACAATGACAACTACTAAGCTACTTCCCTGTTCCCTGTTCAACTTATAGATTAAGCATTTGCTTGTATTTATTAGTTTAATTAATGTTTTTATTGATTTTATTTTAGTCATTATTGTACCTCCAGAATTATGGTGGTAGTATTTAGTTAAATGTTGCTTTTTTTAAGGTTTACTATGCAGGATTTTGCTTTAAAATAATGTATAGACTCATATAAAACTAGTCCCCCTCAACATTTAATTGTGACCCACTGGAGGTGTGTGTATCTATGTGCAGAGACACTGCCCTCTGCCTGTATTTTCTTCTTATTTTGCTGAGGTCTGGAGGTTCCCGCGCACAGTGCACAGGTGTGGTTGTGTCTTTATAAGTTAGTGACCAGGTACCAGACCACAAGCGGCAGGAAATCAAAAAACAGCCATGAAAATCGTGGATACAGAACAGATAAAAAACAAATATAGTGAACAGAGTGAATTTGGGGTCGGCTTTCACTGGATATTGGTAATAAAAAATTTCTGCATAGTATACCTTTAAAAAAAAAAATCATCGAAACATCCAGAATGATCAGAATCAGTTTTTTTTACTCAACTGTTTGGGAAACATGTAATCAGACTTTTAGCCATCCATGAAAAAATGTTTTTAAAATCATGTCTCCCTACACAGCTTGTTGCCTTCCCTCTACTAAGAATGAGCGTGAGATCATTTCTTGGGGTCTGCAGCAGTGATGAAAGGGTTAATCAGACAGGAATTGCCTGAGTGTAGGGCTGTAGGGAGAGATCCCTTACACTGGTCAAAAGGCCTGAGAGGCCAACAGTGCCTAATGAAGACAAACCAGCTCCATGGCCCTGCATAGGGAGTATCAAGTAGCTCTGTCACTGTGTTGGCTCACACTCATTATGTATGTGGGCAGCTGGGCTGCTTTTGTGTACATATGTGTGTATGTTATCTGCTTTGATCTCACTTTAAGTGTTGCCTCCGCAGCATACATGCATTATAAGTCTGTCACCATTTGCTGAATGCATTTCCACACATGCATGTGTGAATTCAAGTTGTCTCAAATATTACATTTGCATTTCTGTTTGTTTAGGTGCATCTATCAGTGTGTGTGTGTGTTTTCTCCACCTGTCCCCGGCTGTCCTCACCTGCTGAAGTCCTTCTCAGTCTCCAGCTCCTCTTCTCCGTGGCCCAGACGCAGGAGGTGGCGCTCGTCGATGTCTAGAGCCATGATCTTTTCAAACAACTGGTTCAGAGCCTGGTGTGTAATGAACCAAGGGAACAAGTAAACATGATCAGACATGGAAAATACTTTCTTTGAAGTGTGTGTGCATGTTCTCATCTATCGTTGGTACTTGTACATATAAGCCTGTCTTAACTTTCTGCCTCTTTTTCAGTCTCTATGAATTTGGTCTAATTCTTATTGCAGAGCTGCCTTTGTGTAATATATCTGAGGTATTTATCATGCTTTGAGGTAAGTGTCTAATCCTGTATAAGGAATATAAATGGACAGGGGAACTATTGCATAAGAAAAAGGTTTTAATCATTATATCCAGCTATGCTTCTTGTGGCCAAGGTTCCTTTTGGCAAGTTTACACTGGTGTAAAACAACAGTAGATTACTTTATGATTAAATACTGAGGGGAGAAGACCGGGTCACAGGGGAGCTTAGATTTTAATTTTTCCTCCATGGCTTGAATAGGACTATCGCCTGATTAATGGGCAGTTGTGATGCAAGCTCTAAATTCTTCAGACAGCTTCACTTTTATTTGAGCAGGGTGTTAGGAAAAATTTTCAGAGGCGGTTTGAGTGTAGACGTGCTGTGCGTGTGGTGGATTAACCTGATTTGAATGTGTGACTATGAGGGTCCTCTGCTCTGGAAAGTTGTGATAGAGGTTTGAGATGATCTGAACGGCAACATCTGTCTTTCCGGTACCAGGTGGTCCAACAACCTAGAGACACAGCAGGAAGAGAAGAAAGTGATGGGGAGAAAGGAATGAAAAATTTTAACAGAAAGAAGCAGAAGAGAAGCACAATCAGAAGTTAGGTCACAGTGCAAAGGCGCTTGCCTCGGAGACAGCCTAATGGTTGTGACAGCTAGGCCATGGGCATGTCAGAACGGGCTAGACTGGTGCCCCATCGTTAGCTGTGCACAGATATACAATGCAACAAGGCTGTGGTGTTGCCTGGCATGCCGAGACCCAGTGACTGCACAGATGGGGAAAACACAGAGAGCTACTGAAAGAGGAGAAAAGCTATAAAAGGCATCTTCAATCCTTCCTTTTGTACTGAATGCTACTAGCTCTCCATCTATAAAGGTTACAATGATAATGAGCCTCATATTTACTTAACTGGGGGGAATAGCATCTAATTTACTAAATAAATATTCATGAAACAGGTTGGTTTTCGCATGGGTATCTCAGGTGAGTCATTTCTGCTGAAACGGTAAGCACAATTAGATATTCCTGCATAAATCAAGAGATAATCAGCTCCTTGGTTCCCCAATATGAGAGGCAAGGCTGGCGTGTGTTTGTTATTGCTACTGACAACATATGGCAAAAAGGAAGCTTGGAGGCGGTGAGGAGAGGATCAGAGAAAGACATGCATGTAGAGTTGTTTATGACTCCACCGATAGCCTACTTAACATCTCTGCCTCAGCTAGCCGCACAATAAATAACCCAGACCCTACTGCCAGTTTCCAATCACCACATCAGAATGGCACTTTCGTCAAAACACTGTGTGTTACCCTTGTCGAGATAACAATAGCAGGCTGGAATGACATAGCTGTGGATGTACGTATGGACTGGGAGCATCCACAGCTGTACTATGTGGCATTTTACATGTGGTTGACGACTTCATCGGCACAGCCAAAATTACAGAGACAGTTTCGGGGAAATTTGTCATAGCTGCACATGAGTGATGGAGATAGGGACATCAACAACAGCATATTTACAGGTGAGGGAATTCCCCTGGTGTACATCACTAAGATTAATGGTTGCAAATCTTTGGCGTCACACCAGCGAGGTGGAACAGTATGCATCAGCAGTATCAGCACTCACTGGACCAAGTCTTTGCCCAAACAGTGTGACAGTCAAGGATATGCATGATTATTTTATAGGGAAGGGTTGAACACATAGCTCGTCCTCCTACTAAGTCCACTATGTTCTGTAACTTTAAGTATTTTTTTAATACTGCTATCAACTTAATCTTCCATAGAATAAAAGAAAAGGTGGCTGAACAAGTATTCCATGAATGCCAGATATTCATGGATACTACTTATGCTTATACTTACTTATGATCTGTTGTTGTCTGTTGAAATTTTGACATTTATTTAGTCAAAAAGATGATTTAGATCTTGCAGATTTTCTATTCAGTTTTGAAACTAATGTAAGAAGCATATATGATACACAAGCCCTTACCATGGTGAGTCCTGGCTGCATCCCGGCTCGAATGGCTTCAATTTGAGTCGGAGTGAACTGGATTGTATTCCTGTAAGAAATGCACATTGCCGATATTAATACATCGAGTAATTAGTCAGGGATGCTGAATAGCCTTGACAGCATAAACACATTTTTTTTTTCTTAAAACAGATGCTTAATGCCGCAAGTTTTGTTGTGATGTTTTTTGAGACCATCTTTAAAGATAGTTAAGTCAGGGCTTCCCCATGGACATGTTGTTGCTATCAAGATTTAAATATCAAAGTGCAAACTGGAAATGCTAAAACACCATCAGATGAATCTTAAATTTTCATGAAGGGCAATTATTTTGTGGTGTTTTAATTAGTGCAGGGATATTAAAGCCTTTGCTGTTCACCTTTAATTGCATAAAAAAAAAATTTCATCTATAATTGTAGGCATAACAACAACCAAAATAGCACCACAACATCGAATGGCAGACAAGTCAGAGCGGATACCATGGAGACAAGCGCGGACAAACAAATCAAAATAGTCAGGGCCAGAGTAGGGTGTCTATAATAAGCCTCTGTGATGTTTTATAGTGAAAAGATGTTTTGGATTGAGGTTAAGCACTTAAGGTATGCTCAGTACACTGACCTCAGAGAAAGGTCGAGTGTTAAGCAAAGACTGAACAACCTCTTGACCCCTAATCTTGTTAAGATGCAAACAGGAAGGCCTGAGTCTTGGCCATGACCTCTCACCGTTTGGGCTGGTTGTAGGGATATGGCCCTCGGTTGGGGGTGACGTAGGGCTCAACGATCAAAGTCTTGTCTTCCTCTTTGTCTTCCACTTCTTCATCAGCCTTCCTCTTCTTCCCTTTTTCTGCTTTGTTTGAGATGGGAAATGTGATTCTGGTGGAGCAAAAGAAGAAGGAAAGGATTATTATGGCCATATCTAATATACTATGTAGTACTGTGACAACATCTGTAAACGCCAGTGCGGGGTTCGCACTGGCTGGATTTGAGGTGCTACAGCCGCTACTGAATCTGTCTCCGGAGCTTCCACTGGATCTCCTCCTGGCAAATAGTCGCCTATCAGTGGGGAAAAACGGAGCCTGCAGTGTGGCTACCTAGCTAGCTAATTCTTGTCTTGTTTGTGGTCTGATAAACACAGAGAAAGAGTGAGAGTGGTGCGAGGGGCTGAGCAAAGCAATGCACTGAGCACAGCTCTACAATGAAACAAGATTTTATCCATTTTAAATACTAACACAAATAGAAAATCAATAAGTAGTGGTCAGTATTAATCTTGTTGCAGCTGCCAAAAATAATTCAATGAATGGGAAACATAGCTCTAGCGTGATGAGCAGAGACAGCTAAATGCAGCGGTTTACATTTACTTCAAAAGGTATGTATTTTCTATTCATTCTATTATACATGTAATACACATTTTAGTATGTAAAGAGAGTTAAGTTTATTTAATACAGCAGCTTTCGAAGTGCAAGGTCACACAGTGCTTTACTGGAAATTAATTGTTAGAATAAGACCATAAAAACAGCATTGTTTTTGGAAATATGTCTCATAATTTGCAGTCCCTAGAAGTGTACAGTGCAACTTTTTCCCATGATCTAGTGTTAAAAAAGTGAACAAAAATCGTAATTTCGCACACAATACATATCAAATTGGCACCCAAGTATCATAGTAGTGACAAATCGGGGGACAAGCATATCGTCCCAGCCCTAATATCAACACATTTACTTTGATCAAGGTAAGTCAACCTCAACAAGGCCTTTCCGTTTGTCATTTGATTATTGGATTTTTGACTTTCACCTGAAGGGGAAGACTTGCAGCTCTGGGTTCTCCTCAGTGACCTTTATGGTGTAACCAGGGAAACATGAACGTAAATGGTCCAGGGACAGAAAGGTGTCGTTGAAATCCAACGTGGAGATCTGATTGGGCATTTTGGAGTAGTGGGCACTGCCTGGGTCTCCATACCCAAGGATGATGTCGTGAAGCCAGTCTGGGACGACACACTCTGTGTTCATTAGGTTTCTGATGGTCTCTAGCACTGCCTAAAACAGAGAGACAGAGAAATGTGAGCAATGAAGAACATCAGACAACAGACAACCATCCCACAAGAGGTGGTTTATCTGGATAAGAATAGCTTTGTGGTGGGCTGATGGGACAGCAGGTAATTTGTACGTCTGTCAATTAGATTTTAATGAACTGCAAACTGTCTAATACCCTGAGCATCAAACACTGGGTAGGGGAATGTGTTTACTTTTATCTATGTCACACATCAAAGATGGGGAAGAATGTTTCTTGAATACCCATTAGTTCCTGCTCTTTTCCAATTCATAAAAAAAGAAACACTTCAAAGTCATCTGACATTGCGCTGGCTGTGAAAGACAGAAATGGGTGTGCAGAATTAGAAATAGCAGATTTGACAAAGCCATAATGAGAAGCTCTCAAATAAAAGGATGTGATAAACAGCAAAAGGATTTTGTGCATTAACAAAATGGAGCAAAACAACATGAGACAGATGGGGTATTTAACTAAAGTTGCACACTCTTGCATGGATAACTTTACTGTGACCTGCTGAAAAACTTACGAAATGTCAACACATTTTACCTTTCTTAACCTTTTTAACAGCAGCTGTATTTTATACTGACAATACAACATGGTTGTGCTTTCCGACAGAAAGCATAACAACAGTATACCATACAATACTGGCTTGCTGCCACAAGGGGATTCTTAAAGGTGAGAGAGGTGGGGGTACATATCACATGACTATCCAGTGAGAAGTGTCTCTCATTGGGATCACTGGGAGGGCCTTGAGTGGGTGGTAATCTCAGAGTTGCCCTGGCCCCAACCTTACAGCTACAATACCCAAGAGAATATAATATGTGCGATACATCACTCTGGGGTTGGGATGTAAGGACCAGAGCTCAAGGTCTTAAGATAAAGCACTCAGATACAATGTACAGTCAGGGCTGATCTCTGTGCTTCAGCGTGTAGTTCAGACCTTGAAATTGTTCTCCTTGGGTTTGCGTCTCATGATGATGTTGAAAGTCTCATATGGGTCTTCAGTGCCACTTTGAATACTGCTGGTCATGTCCTGTTGATACTGGTTTGGGTCCAGCCATACGCGGAATGTCCTGGCATCTCCACGCAGCTTAGGCTTTGGGTCAGGTCCTAGACCAGAGTGGTTGCAGAGAAAACTTGTTACAGAAACAAAACGATAACCTCTAGTAATGAATAATTAAAGATCAGTATTGTTAAAGAAATAACATTACCAGTGCCAATATCAGTATCTTTAGGGTGCTTTCAGACCTAGGTGTTGTCTTGCTTTGTTCCAAATCAGGGACTAATTTTGTCATAAAGTTGCATAATTGCCTAGAGTTGGTTTTACAAGCATTTACAAGCAGACCAGATCAAAACGCGAGAGAGCTGCTACTGATTGGTCAGAATTTCCATGCGGGAAAAATCCAGGAAGTAAACAAAGCATTGAAGAAGAGTACACTTGCAAGATAAATGTGACACTTTCTAATGTCACAATGGACGGACAACTACGCAGGTTGATTTTAGCGCTGCTCATCGTGGACTATATTGCTGTCATTGTTCATTTTAGTCAAACCATACAGTTTGAAAACGAGGCGCGGCTCCAACTAGAAAACAATGTTTTGATGCATTGGATGTGCTGAAAGTGCATATTAAGGCAGTACAGCAGGAGGTGCACATTAATAATCCTCCAGGACTGTAACATGCTCATGTTTAACCCAAACAATATGTCATGTGACTGTAGTTGGTTCAGATCGAGGTCGGAACACGTTCTCAAACGAACCTCACCAGAGTTCGTTTGTAACCAGAATGAGACCACCTCTTCAAGAATGTTGTTTTGGTGCGCACCCGAGTGTGATTGCTGTGTTCACACCTGCCCAAACGAACCACACTTAGGGGGCAAACAAACTTGAGTTTGACTGAACCGAACCAAACAGAGCAGGTGTGACAGTACCCTTAAAGTGATACAGATACCAATAAGGTACTTCATTAAATACCTATTATGTGAATGCAAGTGTTTAGTTGAGTAAAATGCCACCAGGAGCCACAGCTGTGTAATATAGTCATACTTTCAAAAGTTTTGGTGGCATCTCAGCACACCACAGACTGTATGGGATGTAGCTGCTGTGGTAGTGGGACAATCACACGTCACATTTAATCACTGAATTTAATTCAAGAACACTTGCAATGGTTGGCTGCAAGCAAAACCATACGGTCTTTTTTTTCTAGATCTGGGTAACAAAAGGATCAAATAAAGGTATAGTTTGACTGGAGAAGTTTCAATACTACTTGGTAGTGGGCTATTTCCTTCAAAATTTTAAAAGACCTAAGACTAAGACCCAACCCTATGAATAATGTATCTAAATTTGTATGCCATTTTTCACATCACTGTCATAAAATGTTACACAATCTAAAGAAAATCTTATTCTAGGCCAGGCCAGTAAAACAAAAAAATAATAAAAAAAAATGTCAGAAAAAAGCTTTTAAAGGGACAAAGGTGAATATTAAACCTAAATTTATTTAAATTTATTCAAAAACCATGATTTCAATAATTTCCATCCAACCCTTCCGTTAAAAACAAAACCCTTTGAAAAGAGCTCACCATGGCTTGCCTTGCTACAATACTACGACTCCACAGAAACTGGAATTACATAGATGCTTGACTGACAGGCCACAGGCTTTAGGCTTACTCCCATAGGGAGCCTGTGTGGTGCAGCAAGTGCAGCTTCCACAGATGTCTAAATAGATTCTTGTATGGAGCTGCAGGGCACAGAGCAGGAGAGTGAAACTCAATCCTGTTGACCTCTGACGTGTGTGTGTGTACCCGCGCATGTGTGCGTCTGTTCCAGTGCACATGTGTACAGCTATGTGGGGATCATCAAATCCCCCCTTACTAAAATGAGTGTGGTGATAGCTTAAGAGTGGAAGCTATACCCTCGACACCACGGGATAACAATGAAGACAGCTGGGCCAAGGTGTGTGGGCCAAAGCAAGTGTGTGTCATTGTATTAAACTGTCTGTTATTAAAAGGCGGGATTAAATCAATACACAAGTAGATTTACATGGAGACGCATTTGTTCATTTAACTCGCTAAGAATTTGTACTATTGTAGCATCATTTTAGGGTTTGGTGATTGGAAAAATATATGAGCAATTGGTGATTGGCTGAGAATACCGCAAACTGTTTTTGTGGGGTGATTTTTTTTGTCATTTTACTGTAACAAGTGCACAAACCTGCGGGATTATATCAGCAATTGCCCATTGTTGGACTGAAGGTTATGGTTAAAAAATTCAATTCAAAGTCAGGTAACTGTGTCCCAAAATGCACGTCTGAGTTTGCATCTCCCCACACCTCCATAAAGTGCCCATTGATTTATGTCTCACCACCACCCAGTTACCCAGAGTACCACTGAGCACCGTTGGGGATCTGAAAGTTTAACCAAGCTGACACTGGCAGGGCATGTTCCCTGGCAGTGTGTCTATTTAGAAAGCCCTGCCCTCTGCATATTTAATCCAAACAGATGAGAGAGGATAGGGGAAAGGGTGCTTCAGTGCATGGACACATGTTCCGACATGGGGAAAAGGCAAACACTTGGAATAGCAGGGCTGCAGGCTAGCTTAGGTGAAGCAACCACTCAGAGGGACTGCTTTGGACTGTGGGGAGGAACACAACAGGGTAAACAGCGGAGATCGAGTTACTATATAAACATATTTTACTTTCCAGGAAAGACCAAAAATTTGAATTTGATCTGCGGGGATCCCGCTCGTGTGGACACACACACACAAAACAGAGTGTCTGAGTCTTATTTTTGATGACAGCAGATCTGAATGCTTTTATTAGCGAAATATGGTCGCTTACAGATCAAATTTCATGCTGTGCTCAAATAATGCTAGAACGCCTTGTGGCTGGCCATACCTGGTTTCAGAGATAGAGGTGAGTGTTTTCTATATGACTGTATTCTGCAGGACAAGCACATTCAGTGTTCTCTTACAGAAGCACATCTATCCAGATATAGCCAATGCAGCTCTTCAGTTAAATCCAATAAAGAATGCAGAGGGCAGGGCCCAACGCTCTCAGGTGTTGTTGTCGACCTCAGGTTAATGGAATGTTAATGTGAACAGGTCAAGTCTCACTGTGACTGTCACCATGACAACAGCAGTCTGACCCTGTCCTGTGGATCTCGGTGGGGATATAGGAGGTCTGATGGGTGGATGGATGTCATTTGTCACTGGTGTGTGTGTGTGTGTGTGTGTGTGTGTGTGTAGGCAGGGGTATATATGAGCATACCTTCCTCAATGACACGTCCCTTGTCATCCAGCATACCCTGCACCTCGCAGCCTCTCACGTACACCAGGCCGGTCTGCTCCACAAAGGGCTGGCGCCGGTCGAAGCGTGTGCCATAGGGCAGGTTGGGCCGCACCGTGATCAGAAAGCAAACGTCATGCTTCCGCAGCCCTATAGGGGGAAGAGGATGGAGAGATGGGTTAGAGAGAAAGAGAAAGGGAGGAGAACAAAAATGGTTTTAGAGACAGAGAGGAAAGAAAGATAAAGGGAAGGGACACAGGAAGAAAGAGAAGTGATGGGGGAGTGAGACAGAGTATGTGGGAGATGCGAGAGAAACCATCCCGTCAGCATTTGCCTGATCTTTAAAACATGAAGCTCTAATTATACGATGGTGGAAGAGCTAGTGGATGGAAGGAAGTAATACTTCATACCTCCACTGAATTACAAGAAACAAAGTAAAACCATAAAAGTGGGTATAAAGAAAGTGGATACATCAATTTGGGATATATTAGGGTTTTTTAATCCACTGATCGCATCATTATTTCTACAGCATTTGCCTACGGAAAGAACCCATTTATTTTCCATATTAATTAGTGCAATACACTATTGGCACACGCTGGCGTGAACATATCCTATATCTTTCTCTGGAGAGCTGCAGCAGGCGGCTCGCCGAAGGCTTCATTGTGCTTTCCATGTTCCCAGTGAATCAAAGTCTTTCAAGGCTGACAAGCTCCTGTTAACATTATCTACAGTGCCCTTATCGGCCACACAGAGAGATGGAGAGAAAAACGATCAGAAAATAAAACAAAGAGACTCAGTGGTAAAGGCTACAAAGAAATAGCATGTCTTCACAGAGACGTGAGGTAGGTGGGGGTCATGAGTCAAGGCCCAGTGGGATGGTAAAGAGTGTGTGGTGAGGGAAGACTTTATGGAGGTTATAAACTGCTTACTAGGAAGCCTGTTAGGAGACACGGAGGGAAAAGAGAGGAAAAGAAAAGGTGGAGCAAGGCAGAAAAAAAGGGGAGGGCAATGATGTATAAAAGCCATAGATGTGTGAGGAAGTGCTGTTTAATCCATTTTTTTGTTGATGTTTCCTTTCCACTATCCTTTGTGAGTAAAATATAAGTAAGGACAGAATGCACAGTGTTTCCTCTGATTAGCATTGCTGCTGTATAAAAATCTCTCTATACACAACTGACCTTTCACTAAGCCCCGCCCCTTTGTGATAGTCTGACAAGCTGTAACTAACTGCACTCCCTGAAGAAATATCATATTTTTAGAAAAATTAAACAGTGATTCCAGAGAGAAGCAGACAGAGGGGTCTACAGTCTGTGTTTGAAGGATATATCCAGGATGTCAAACTGACTCAGCAGCAACAACAGGTTAAAAGACAAAGATAGTTAGAAGCTATAGGCTATAGGCTATAACTATAGGCTACAGATCACAGTGGGCTTCCCCCTGTGCTGCTGCCAGCACCCGGACCTCTGTCGCTGGACGAGCAGGGATCTCCGGGGGAAGTCAAACAACGTTCATCAGCACACACTGCGATGACACACAGCTGAATATCAGCAAAGTTTCCCTGCTTCCCTTCACTGGTTCCTGTACAGCAGGGTCGGTCTTTGTTTCACTGTTATAATCATTAAAAAGCAAAAGCAGCATGTGTATACATTCAGTAGGCTATATCTTCAGTAGCTAGCTAGCTAACCCTACACTTTTCAGGGTCTGATTTTAGTTTTGGAACAGGGAAGAAACAAATATCTTTTTCCAACCTCTCCAGGTAACGAGTATCATTAATACACGACGTGCCCCAGGCACAACATTTAGCTCCAAATCCACAAAACCAGCCTGAAAATGAAGGAATCTGAAACATTTGCATTAGAGTCAATGGAGCACAACTGTGTTGGTGTCGGAACCTGGTCTTAGCCGGCCCAGTGCTATGCTATGATTGGCCAGTCTGCGCCTGGGGCCGAAAACTAAATCAGCATAAGCAGACAGGTATAAAAAGTGATTAAAAAACATAAAAGATATTGACCATAAAAGATCTAACAATGACAGACAGACAGACAGACAGACAGACACACACACACACACACACACACACATATTCTATTTACCTTCCCACTCATTCTTGATATGATCTTGCACATTGAGGTTAACAGTGACATCAGCTCGCACACGGGCAGGCCAGCTCTCTCCAATATTGGGCTTGGCAACCTCTACTATGGAAAAAGAGGTGATCGTTTGTGCCATCCTGGCCCAGCCCCCAAACACCACTCCACCGTACTCGGATTGCCTGCGCAGAGGGACAGACACAACAAGAAGTTAGACAAGCGCTGTGGGCTGTTGTCAAGATTGAAATCAGTTGGATTTAGGGCAGCACATGGCACTTCTGCTTACTTATTTACTTTTGCAGGAACAACAAACAAGTTGCTACATCACTTGACATAATGGGAGCACTTAGTATGTTAAGCAATGGGTTTCCAAATGCGATTTACCAAATGTCACAGTCTTTTAATAAAATATCATCAATGCGTCATGCCACCAGAGGACAAGAATCTGCTTTCATTGATGTGAGAAGACAAAGAGAGCTGCAGCAGAGTTAATGGGAGAAATTTGTTCTACTTAGGCAGAAAAAAGACACCAGTGATGCTTATCAAAGTGTGAAGATCCTATTTCAAAATCAGACTCTGTCCTAATTTGTCTATTGATAGGTTTTATTACTGCACATGAGCCTTTTACCACCCTTTTACATTTTAAGGAAAATCTTAGATCTATACTTTTATCTGTTATTACTGCACTGCTGAGGGCTGGGAGGAACACTTCCTTTTTTAATGTATGCTAGCACACAAGAAAATAATAAAAAAAACTAAACTTGAAAATCTTGAATCTTGAAAACAACAAGAGATTCTGGATCATGTTCCCTGTAGCTTTACAGAGTTGAAGACATCTCACCATGGTTTCATACGCCACACCACATCCTCTATGTCCTGTCTGATCTCATAGGTGGACTCCAGACGAAAGAGGTTAAAGTTTCTCAATAGGTAGTCATGGAGGGTCAGGAACTGGAGATTCAACTTTGGTAGTGCCAGACAACCTGAAGAGAGAAAGAGTAAATAATAATCATGGACTGTACACAAATAATGAACACACCCACCCTGACGATTAGTTTGTGGACTCGCGTTTTGAAGCGTTGTTGGGCATTTTGGCTGTCGCAATCTTTAGCCCTTTTTAAATAGGAATTGTGCAAATTTGCAGGAAAGCCCAATCAGTCTTCTTTCAGCATTGGCAGTATAAAAACAAAATCGGGGAGTGCAGCAAAATGCCGCCTGCCTACTTTTGTTTAAACAGAATGTGCCTTTTTCGGGGCAATGGGGGGCGTGAGCAAGTAACAAAACATGTAGCTCAGCGTGTGACATAAACAGTGATGTGGGAGGGAAGCCGCAGCTGGTCAGTCCTTCGGCGATTCTCTCGTAAGCTGGCCCGTCCTTCACCGTTCCTGTCATCTGATGGTTAATGGCCTCTTCGTTTGCGAGGACAAGGAGGGCGCGCAATTCCTTGTCTCCCCAGTTGCTCATCTTTACAGTGTCTGTCAGGTTTGTGTTTCCCTCTTGCTACTAGCTGCTCACTAATTCCTGCTATCAGCTGTTTCCTGTTAGTCCACCACCAATGGCTCGCATGTGCGGGGTCATCAAAAGCTCCTCTCACAAGTCTTCAACAGCCCCTCCTATTGCGTGAGGCCGCCTTGGTCTTTTTAAACTAAAAGGGTTCCGCTAATATGACTACCCTACGAGGCGGAAAATTGGGCACCTCGGATCAACTCGCCAATCCGGCTCTGTGTGTCTAAACGCTTGCAGCTTGCCGGCAAAATGGCCCAACATTTGCAGAAAATCAGGCAGTGTAAAAGGGGCTTCTGAGAATTGACTTGCTCTAAGAACCAGCCTCATATGGCCAATTGAGGAACTGCAGTTTTTGGCATGTTCATGTTGGCTTCACTTTTCAGCTACAAAGGTTGTCACTTGATATTAATCTAAATAGGTGAGTAATCACACACAAACACACCCACATGCTTACAATTAGTCCCTAAAAGTTCATTATTATTTTTTCTATAATACAACAAACCACCTTTGTAATACCAAGTGTGTAAACTGCTGCTTCTACACAGACTACTCATGTTACAAGTTGCAAGTAATATGCTTAAGGGATTTTACTCCAATGGTCAGTGGTATAAGAGTTGCTGAAGGTGTCCTTGCCAACTAAAGAGGATTCCCCAAGAGAGGTGCCAGTTCGGTGCCAGATGAGTGCCCTCAGGATCAGGGATAACACAAGGTGTGGGCATAGGCTCTGAGTACGAGGCACTGATCAGACACTAGCATGTATGCTCTTGTGCACGAAAACTCGCACAGACATGCAAAGCCCATCACAATTCATACATGCCACACACACCTTCGCCTGAGTAGTACTCCGTCGGGACGATGTTCTCATCCCAGATTATCTTCTCTGTTGGATAAAGGGGCATCTGGTTAAGTTGTTCAATCTGAGAGATTCTTCGCTCATGACGAGACACCTGTGTGAGGCAAACAGTGAGAGAGAATGAGACAGTGAGGACAAAGGCACAGACAGCTGGCTTAATGTCTAGGATCTTTAACTTCCTTCTTTCTCAAAGTGAGACGAGGGATTACAGAGAAAACATTCCCACAAAATCAGGTCACTCAACAAATAGTTTCATCATTCCCACAGTTCACGTCTGGTTCAACTGAAGCCTTTTATTATTTATCATCCTCAGTGCAGTTCTGCTGCCAGACCTCAGTCGGCCACTGCTCTTTTAAATGTACAGTACATGCTTGAAAATGGACATAAAAGTAAAGGCTACTTTAAGGGCTGAACATTTACACATATTTTGGATGATCAAACCAGGATATCATATTTGTTTACATGTGATTCTATCTAGAAGGATGGGCAACCATGGCATGGGTAATCTAGAAGTACTAAATCAAAAGCAACAGGATTATGCAGGTGTTATGATTTGATATTTTAACCTTAGATAAAGATGCTCTACACATATGAATGTTACTGCATAGTAATGATGTCACTAGTTATTTTCTGATGTATAAACCAGGGCTGTTACTTTTATTATCAGTTAATGTGGGGATTATTTCATTGATTAATATTTTGTTTTGTTTTTAACATGTCAGAAAATAATGAAAAATGACCATCATAATTTCTCAGAGCCAAAGGTTACATTTAAATGTCTCATTTTTGCACCCAACAGTCCAAAACCCAAAGACAGTGTGGGTTTACTAATACTGATAGCACAAAGAAAGGAGGCGAATCATTTGTGAAGCTGTAACCAGGTAGTTTGGCATTGTTGCTTGAAAAACTGAACTACAATAATTAATTACTCATCAAAAGAGTTCCCGCTCCATTTTGTGTTTTTGGCTACTAGATTAAAGGTATACTTTGCTAATTTGTGTGAAAGTGTGAATCCTATGTGTAAATGGACTGTGGTAAATTTCCCTCCATCTTACCACAGCCCAGATTTCCCTGCTCATCCCAGCTGGCTCTGGGGCTGTTGCTCAAACGACAGCTTGTAATTCTGCATTTTCATATTAACCACCACCACGGACATAAAGAGTTAAAAGGGTGGATCAAAATAGAGACCCGCCCCTCTCTCTGTCCCACAAATGCAGCCCAAACTCCACTCAAACTGTAAAAGTATGCATTGCCAATCAAATCTGAACCATAATTATGTTACTGCATTGCCTATTTCTTATCTACAATGTTTTCAGAGACATACTTTAGTGCCCTGTTAAGCTGTAGTGAGAGTTTGTGAACAGGCAGTAGGCTCCATGCTGCTTTCTGTATCGTAAAAACAGAGGCAGAAAAAACTGAGTGCTGATCAAATATAAACCAAGGTTTTGTTACTGCACCACCTTACCGTTTACCTGTAATACAATATTGTTTGTTACCAGCCAGCTGCCATTATGTTAAACAGAGGAGCTTGCATAACATCACCTACCAGTGGAAGGATTTTCTGGTCCGTGTAATGGTAGGTTACTAAATCTTGAACAAAAGCAAATGCCACAGCCCCTTTCTTATGCAATTTCCTTAATTAATAAAGTACCTACCTACCTACCTTAGTTTTCTCTGGTCATGTGGCACCAATTCCAATTTTTTTTTTGTCTTTCTACTACATAGATAGCATAGTTTTATGAAAATGCCATCTTTCCAGCAGTGAACTATTTTTTTTAATGGACAAACTGGTTCACCTCTTATTCACTACTCATTACCTTCATGTATGTATTTTCTTGAAAAAGAACAATTTCGTCCAAACACTGCTGGTAAACAGGAAGCTTCTAGTCTGATGTGCATGTATGTCTCAATTTCACTGCATTAATCTTTGAACCCAGCACCTGTCCTGCTAAGGATTTGTGGATGTGCACACAACCATTTTGCTATTATGTTCTTACTCTTCTGGGAAAAGAAATGAATTCCATAAATTTTTAACAGTGTCAAGGGGAGTGATATTTCCTTTAGAATACAAACTAGCTCATCTATTGCACCCGGGGAAGTAACGAGCCTAAACACTGGCTCTGGTGCACTGCCTCTTAAAAAGAATGGTTCCTCCTCCCTGGGCATATTCATGATAATGTTCTCTGCAGAGAGAGCAATTGTTTTGCTACGGCGTGGCAGAGTCCTAGTCCTGTGGCCCCCTCCTCTTAAACCCACACGGTCAGATATGCTGGTTGTTGGGGGCAACCTCGGGCACAAACAAATGAGTCCCCTGACATTATCTCCTGCAACAATCTAATCAGATAATTATGAAACGGCTCTTCGCCATCGCTTCTCGGAGAGGACCTGGGGAGGGTCTGAGTGGGTAATTATGAATAACTGCAGGTCAGCCTCGAAACACCCACTTTGATGAAGAGGTCTGCAGCACATGTGTGAGTGTGTGTTGGGAAGACTAGTGGGACAAAGGTCCAGCAGTTTCCTGGAGGGGGTTTTAAAAATGAAAATTGGGAGAGCAGGGGAAGGGGAACCAGAGAGCACAATCAAACCAGCTCTAGCCTTTCAAGAGATACTTAAAAAAAGGACAAGGAAAAAAAAGTCACTGTCTTCAGTTTACCCTACGTCACACAAATGCCCATATAAAGCTGTAATTGGATTAGAAGGTAAACTCAAGAGGGACGGGCTGTGGAGAGGGGATGCTATATGTATTCCAAGGTCAAGGGCTTAAATTAATGACTTTAAAATGAGAAACACAAAACCTATTATGCCGTAGCGCTGACTGGCCAGTTATGGAAAATAACTGGTCGCCAACATTGTTTGTGGAGGTGCACCAAGACCAACTATGCATCTTTTATATGGCATGTTGACAAGCACATAGTGCCTGAAGTATTGCTTCATTCCCTCACACAAATTAACTACTTCCATCTAATCAGTTCAAATGTCTGAGGCGTTATATATTATATTGTTGGGATAAATATTTTTGTGTTTGATGTGTGGTAAAGCAACAGGACCATATTTTCTGCATATAAGTCTGAATTCCCATTCCCATAAGCCATATGTCACTAGAACGTCTCTGCATTTCCATCCAAGATTACACTGTAATAGATGTAATTATCTTTATCCTGACATCACATCCTACTGTGAAGCCCGAGACCCTCACTGCATGAAAGAGGCAATATTTGACAATTGTAAATAAATATCTTAAAAATGCCACCAAGACTTGAGAGCTCAAACGTCTGCATGGACTATTTAATGAAAGCCAAGACTGCACCTACCAGCAGCTCAAGGAGAACCTCCTTCTCATAGGAGGTGTCTTGTCCTTCAGACAGCTCTGGCAGCAGACACAGATATGAGGCCACCTGGTGGAGCGTATTGGGACTACGGTGAAAGATGAGATAAACAAGTGGTTAGTCAGCTAGAAAAGTTGCATTTGTGATTACACATGTAGTTGACACTCCAGAGCAGGGATGACAGTAAGGAATAAATAACTGCTGACCAAAGTAAATGATTTGGTTATGACTGAAAAGGTGAAGATTAAGATTGAGAGAATGATACATTGATAATAAAAAAACATTCCCACTGTGTATTATTGCTTCAGTGCATTATATTTGCAAAAATTAAAAATGTGTGGGTTCAGCCTCTCTTTTGGGATGCTACCTCCCCCTCTGAGAGAGATATTTCAAATGGCGACAGCGACAACACTATATGTGTGAAGATACACCGCCTTATCAAATTCATGTGCTTGTTAGCACTGCGGCACAAAGCAATTCTTCTGTTTGCTTTGACACTCACTCCTGCTCTGTCAGCATGTGTGTGTTAAGGGGCCGCGGCGCACTGATGCGACAGGATTATGAAAATCAAAGCCCATCTCCGTCTCGGAAAGCTGAGGCATGGCTCTCTGCATACAGACCTGTTTTAATCAGGCTGACACACTGTGACACGGGCAGGGTCTGGTACACAACGAAGGACAGGGCCTGGACACATTGTGACAGCCCCGGACAGCCACACGTGGCTCTGACCTGGCTGTAACCGTGCATGCGCATGCATTCTGCTACTTGTGATGCCGCGCTTGGGCAGTGGGGTGGCAATTCTGCCAGTGTTGCAATTTAGTGGCCCCGGTGGATGACCTGGCATAGGTCATGTGGACATTCCCTCCCTTAGCAACAAAATAACAGCAGCACAACAACTCACTCTAAGTAATGGAGATGACAGGGCCAGGTCGTGACTGACAGCTGAGCAACTGGCAGGGTAAGGTAAGGATGGGGACATCATAAAAACTGGCCTACAATAAGTTTACTCTTCAGCCTGAAGGCTGTCTTGACCCTTGCTCAGATTTTGGATAAGCCATTAAACAGCAACTTTATTTAGCTAATGCATAATGTCATCAATTAAGCAAAGAGCAAATCCCCAAAGATGTTACCTAGCCAGAACAGGGCACAATCAGCTACACACTTGTGTACGCACAGCCACAATATGAGCTGACATAACAAGCTCAACAAGACATTCATTAATAAGACAAATAAAAAACAAAAAATTATATCAGCCTTCAATATGCTGGACAAGCTTATATCTAGATTCATATGGCAAAATAAGAGACCAAGAGTGAGACTTTAAAACACTCACTCTTGGGAAGAACAAGGGTGGACTCAGCCTCCCCAATATAAAATACTATTTTTGGGGCGCGCAACTAACAGCAGTGGTAGCCTGGATTAACAATGACATGGAGTCGGGATGGGTAAACATAGAGCAGAATTCATTGCCGGTTATACCTCTATCCGCTCTAGTGTTTTTGAGCAAGCAGTCCCAGAAGAAATTGGAAATCAAAAATGTATGGGTGAAAGACACCTTAAAAGTATGGTCGACAGTCCAAAAGAGAATTAGAGGGACAGCTGCCTTTTCACGGGCTATGCAGATTGCTGGAAATCCGGATTCCCCCCCCCTCAACAACAGATATCACTTTTAAGAGATGGGCAGGCAGAGACCTAAGGGTTATTGACCAGTTGTTCTGTGACAATGTTTTCCAAGACAAAAAAGTGATATGTTCCTGTATTTTCAGATTAGGCATTACATCACAAGCCATAAAGATTGGAATATAATTAAAAATGCTCCAACAAACCTAGAAACATTCTTTATTAATATAATTAAACATCAGCTACCCAACAAAAAGCATGTTTCCCGTATATACAGAAATCTGTTACTGGATACACCAGACAATACTTTTTATATCAAAAATAAATGGGAGCTGGAGTTAAATATTATAATTGAGGATGGAGAGTGGGAAACAATGTGCACTGGATGTCATAAGGGTATTAATAGTAACATCTGGAAGGAGTTTGATTGGAAGATGAAGACAAGGTTCTTTAAGACGCCTTCGGTGGTTTCCAAATTTGTAGATAACCCAGCTACAATATACTGTTGGAGAAAATGTGGAATAGTTGGCAACCACTCGCACACATTTTGGGATTGCCCAATGATGCTTCCTTTTTGGGAGGGGGTAAAGAGAGATAGATAAAGTTCTGGGAATTGATTTACTATTCACCCCCAAGTCAGTTTCTTTTTGATCTAACTCCTGAAGACATGTACGCCAGAGCCCAAAAGCACCCGTTACATATACTCTTGATGACTGCTAGGAAAATGGTGACAAATAAAATGAATGAATCCACAGCCACCTACAGTGGCACAGTGGAAACAGAAGCTGAGGGAGGTGTATGGAATGGAAGCTTTAACTGCTCAATTACAATTAAGGTCTGATGTCTTTGTGAGGAGGTGGCTACCTATAGCAAGATACCTCTCTAACTGAGGGGAACCCCACACTATGCTGTAATGTCTTAACTGTCCATTTATTTATTTTTCAGCTTTCTGGGCCCTAATGGCTTTTTTTTTGTTTTGTTTTTTCACACTGTCATACATATTCTGTGATGTTGTCAAGGAATGTTCTATGTTCTGTTTTTTTTTCCAAAGAAGGAAAAAAATAAATAAATAAATAAAAAATTATGACAAAGGGCTTTTATGGCAGCCTGAATCTTCCCATTCCTTTTCTTAGTCACATAACATCCTCAGAACAGGAACCAGGATTAACTGAGAAGTGGAATCGATAAAATACTAACACCCTTTCCGATAACAAGACCACGCTGAAGACTAATCCACAGAGCTAATTATGCCCATTATTTTGGCATTCCCATTCCTGATGACTCTCTTCAATTTTGCTCGCATTTCACAAAGTGATGCATACTCTTTGATCATGTAGTAAATTCATTTTTGGGGGGGTCTGAAATGACACACAAACTTGCATGTTTTATGTAACTGAAAGAAGTGCGTGTGTGTATATATGTATGTGAGAGAATGGGTGTGTATATGTGTGGGCAGACTAAGCAATAATGCTGCGTTTGTGCGTTTGGGGGACTTAGCGGATAAATTCAGAGCGGAGGGTGACTGGGAGCTTAGCCCGTGGGTAGCGCAGCTGGAATAAACTGGCATTAGCGTGAGTTGTTTGGATGAAAAGTGCCTCGTTAAATCTGATCGGCATATTTGGAGTTACCCAGGAGCTGCTTTGGTGACAGTTGTGGAGTGGGGAACAATGCAGTCCCTGCTATATTCAAAATCCTAATTCTGGGGAAAAGGAGCAGAGCTGCTACAAATACATGAAATGGTTCAGCGCAGTCTTTACCTGATTCAGCTTGGCTCGGCTCATAACCCTCCGCCTGACTCAAAGAAACTTAGTGTGGGGTTTAAGAATTTATAATCCACTAAAAAAAGTTAAAACGAGGTGATGGATATACAAACATTGACTGCAATTTGTGTTGTTCCAGCACAGAACCTCAGAGCAATTATGTCAAACAAAAACATGAAGACAAATAAGTAATCAGTCACCCACTTTGAGTGTGTTGTAAAGCCAAAACATAGTGGTTATAAACTTTCTAAAAGCTTGGGTGAGTAATTTTAAATTTTCATTATGACATTAAAATGCCAAGAAAGGTTAAAAACCCCAAAGTAATTACAAGTTACTAATAAATCAATGTCTTTTCACTCCCCTTCAAGCGTGCGCGAGTTTAAAAAAACCACACACAGTTCATCAAAGCGAGGGTGCTTTTTAGCTCTTTGGCGAGCTAATATGATCCGACAAACACAGCTGTTCGGAGAGTTTATTCTCAAGCCACTGCAAATCGATTAAATTAATGAGGCATGCCTCTCTCTCTGGCTGGTACCAGCTGCCTGTTCAAGGGCTCACTAGCTGCCATTTAGCAGGGAAGTCAGGCAGCAACGGCGGTGCTTATGCTATACTGCAACATAAGACCAAGATAGGTAGGCAGTCTGTGTGTGCAGGTACTTCAACTGAGGCTTGTATGCTTTGGTCCTTAAATAAAAGGTCAGATCTGTATATTATCTGCAGACAAACTGCTGGAGGGCTTGTTTGTGTGCAACTCTCTACCACTGACAGCTCTCTGAGAACATTTAATGTGCTCTCTAAAGTACATAAGGGCAAGGGGTAAAAAGGATGAGCCACCTCTACCAGGAAGTGGTCCTGTTAGCTAAAACAACACTCTGGTGCTCAGTTCACTGTAGTTGTACTCAGTTCAATCATGCATACTCTCCCTCCACATCCCTCCATCTGTGCACTGGCGAACTGCAAGTGCACTTGTTCATTTCAAGATTCACTCCGGATGTTTTGATCTACCTGAGATGCCCAAAGTGTTTGGTCAAGGATTCTCGAGTGTCGACTGCTGCTACGTTGGACAGGGCAAAGTCCTGCAACTCTGGGAAATGAGCAAAAGCTGCCCTCTGCAAGACAGGAAACACACAGCAAAACACTCATGTGAAAATCAGATTGGTAGCAAGCAGTATGATTTTGTTTTCATATTACACAGTTGCTCTCCCAAACAACATGAAGCTACATACGCCTGATGCACAATAATATCCAAAAGATCCACAAAGAACATCCTGAGCACTTCCAGTGAAAAACAACAGCTGAACCAAAGCAAACAAGACAAAGCAGGCAGCCCAGATTTGCCACAGCATGTCTGTCTGTCCCTCTTTATGTATGCTGTTTACCTGTAGGGAGAGGATCCTGTCATAGTGCAGAGTGGTCATCTCTTTCTCTGTCAGGGCGTTTCCTGTCTGGTCATTGATCTCAAAACCTGTGTAGAACTTCAGCATGTCCAGCAACTGCAGAAATGTAGCAATAATACAAGTTACTTCTACGCATGAAAATGATGAGATGATTTGGATTTCAGGGTGATGACATACAGTAATTTCAAGTGTACATGCATATGCAGTTTCCCTGTGTTTGCTGCTGTGTACCTGGCAGAAGAGGTGTCCCTCCTTCTCTCTATGGGTGAGGCTGGACAGGTGGCAGCTGACCACCAAGTGAGAGTCATCCAACACTGTGTTAAACCAACGTCGGGTGGGCAGCAGGGCCTGGACACACAGGACACCATGTTTACAGATTTGGACGTCAGGCTTACGTACATTCATTCATTAATTTTCAATAACCTCTTATTCTGTTGGGGGTCACGGGGAAGCCGGAGCCTATCCCAGCTGACATTAGGTGAGATGCGGGGTACACCCTGGACAGGTCACCAGACTATCACAGGGCTGATACAAAGAGGGACCACTCACACTAAAATTCACACCTACAACAACCAACTTAGAGTCACCAATTAACCTGCATGTCTTTCAACTGTGGGAGGAAGCTGGAGTACCTGGAGGAAACCCAAAGGCTTTAAGTTGTGGCTAAAATACTGAGCTTTGAGAGTTGTATGAGGGACTTATCCATAGTCGCTGTATTACCTACAGCAGGTAGCTGTCAGCATGCCCCTAGTTTGGAAAAAAGGCAGCTCAGCAATGAACCCCTGTGGACAGGAGGCAGTGTACACTGTATTTAGTATATTTTCACCACTTTACCGTGATGTCAGAAAGCCCCCTCCGACAGGGAACTGAAGCCGTTATCTATGCTCTTTTAAAAGCCACCAGACCAGAGTGTGGATACCCGTTGGGCCTGGTTTCAGATAACAAATCAGAAATTTTGCTGTTGTGTTGTGCTATGGCCTATTCAATTAATTTATGAGATAATGCCTGAATGCAACACAGGCTCTGCTCCAACTGAGTGTGTGTGCTGCTGTGCGTGCGGCGTGTTTGACTGTGCGTAACAGCAGCCTTTTGATGGTCATTTACACACTGTCCATGTGTGATCACGGTAAACAGACAAGCTGTATCCATGGTGATAACTATGTCAGGTAATAAACCGTGTCAGGTTTGGACTTAAAAATCAGGAAGGCAGTCGGGTTTGGGCTGGGCTCTGTTATAACCGTCTCGGACTCAGGTCGAGTTCTAACAGGGAAGATGCAGCCCAAGCCGTGCTCTACACCAGACTCCTTGGGGGAAAAAACAGCAATTTTACTTCGCAGAACACCGGAGTTGCTGGTCTACTGCTGCTACGATTAGTTTGCTTGCGTTATTATGTCACCTGTGTTGTAAAGTGTTCAGATTCACCAAAGTCACACAATAACACAAATAAACTAACCGATTGAGGCAACAGTAGACCAGCAGCTCCTGTATTCTGCAAGGTAAAATTACTGTTTTTGTCCAAGGAGTCTGGTGGCATGGAAGAGAGCATAGCTGGATATAATATAATTCTACTCAATGGACAGGACCAAAATAACTAAGAAAAACAAGCCATGTTTTCAGGAGAACTGTCGGATGGCTCTCCATCACCACAGACAAAAATAATTAGGTATTGTATGAACAGACATCTCTCAGGGGTCAAAAGAATCAATAGGCTCAACCACGACAACATTTCCCAGCATCTGGCCCATGATTATCCATACATATTATTGATCCATGGTCTTTTCTTGTCTTGAGGTTGTTTTGAAACATATGATAGAGAGGCAAACAATGAGGCAAACTGGCAGCGGGATGAGAAGAATACTTCTATAGCCATCATTTATTTGCTTGATGTAGCGCACGAACATGACATGAAGGCAAGTACAGAAGCAACCTGTCAAAACGAGATAACAGAGCTGCTTTGGTAGGAATATAACAAAGAAATACTGTACGTGTTGATGGGCTGACAGGCTGAGTGTGAGAATGACTGGTGCACACAGGACAAAAAAGGGGTTCAATCTATCACATTATAAAGGCTGAAACAGAACTGCCCGGAAAAAAACGGCATCGTGAAACAGAATATGAAATGGAATACCGAAATGCAAAACACCAACAAAACGAAATATCTATTATTTTATTCATTGAAAACTGCTCTTCAAAGGCAGCAGGTGCAGCAAAGTGATACCTAAACACCGAGAGAACAGATACCTTTATATCCAACAGCCATCTTTGATCTCAACACAGTCCTGACAGCTGGCATACAAGACGCATGAAAACAGGGATCTTTTTTCCCTGCATTAATTTTCAGGTCATCATCAGAGAGGGGAAGTATGGATTTCAGGCAACTGAGGCTTTGTAAAAGGATAGCGCTGAAGGACAGAAGATGTCTCTGGAGACAGTTAGCTGGCCGGCCACTAGCCGCTGCCAGGAACAGCAAGGCCGGCCTGTCAGCAGGACGGCCAGATGAAATCTATTGAGCTTCCTCGCTAGTAACAGGAGATCTGCACAGCCAGCAGCAGCAGCAACAATCTTATGTGACAATGTGTCTTCACTCCGGATAGCCAACCTCATTGGCAACGGTTCCTCCCCAAAACACTATGTCAAATTTAATTTTCCTTTATCATTTCTTTTAAATGAACCAATATGATTATAGTTCATAAAAGTTCCTCATCTTTACGAGCTATTTCATCACCCCGAAAATGCCAAGTCTTCTTTGATAACTGATGTGACTGAAAATGCTCCATGAATATCAACATAGAATATACTCTGCTTGATAAATCCATCAACTAAAACTATCCCTCTCTGTGGTATAGCAAGAGATATCTTATAACTAGAACCCTATTTAAAAAAAGTGAAAACCAGCCCCAGATTCACTTGCCTCGCTGTATTTGCAGTTTTTTGTTGTTGTTTGTTTGTTTTTTGGCACTGTGTCTCTTGGATGCCTGCCGCTTACTGTCTGGCACCTGGTCGCTACCTTTTTGTGAAGCCCCAACTTCATAAACACAAAAATGTGAGGAAAAAAAGAAAATACAGGCAGAGGGACGAGTCTCTGCGGAAAACAACACTGCCACACACTAGCAGGTCATAAGTGATGATCGAGAGGGATTACGTCTGTATGAGTCTAATAATTGTTTTCTAGGAAAATGCATAGTATATCTTTAAGATCAATGCATCAGTGTGGGTTACACCAACACTGAATTCAAATGGGCAAGACACTGTTCCTTCTTAAGAGTAGAGCTGCGCACTAGACAGTCTCAGCAAGTAAAACATAGACAAGCCAAGACAAACAGACAAACAGTACAATCCCATTTTCAATCAGATTGGCACTGTGTCTCTTGGATGCCTGCTGCTTACTGTCTGGCACCTGGTTGCTACCTTTTTGGGAAGCCTCAACTTCATTGATGTCCCCGACACACACACACACACAAAAAAAAACACAAAGAAAGTAAGAAAATACAGGCAGAGGGACGAGTCTCTGCAGAAAACTACACCGCCACACACTTCTACTGGGTTCTAAGTGTTGAATGAGAGACAAGCATCACTTTTCAATCAGATTGCTGAATTTTTTGTACAAAACAGACACAAAATTGCCCATGAAAACCCAAAATATAGAAAGAGACAAGTTTTTTTAAATGACTACCTACAATACATGTATCTCAAATTTGCAGGCAACAGCATGCAGCAGATAAAGAATTTAAAGGTGCAGGATTTAGGGGGGTATAGTGGGAGAAATTGATTAAAACAAGTATGTTTTCTAAGTGTATAATCACCTGAAAATAAGAATTGGCATGTTTTCATTACCTTATAATGAGCCAATAGTATCTACATAGGGAGCAGGTCCTTTTCTATGGAAATCGCCATGTTGCAATGCCATGTTTCTACAGAAGCCCAGACTGGACAAACCAAACACTGGCTCTAGATATTTGTGTTTTTTCGTCGGCCACCATCGTTAGAAGCCCCTCTGCAATGAGAGCATTTGAAAAACTGTTGTTTTTTTTTCCCTCACTCATGGACAAGACCCCGAGATACTAGTCAGGGTAGAATGGAGCGTGAGATGGATCAGCGGTTTGATGTGGCATCTGCAGTGATGCAGGCGCTGCGCCAGTACATTGTGGTGAAGAAGGAGCTGAGCTGGAAGGCGAATATTTCGGTTTACTGATCCATCTACATCCCAACTCTCACCTATGGTCATGAGCTCTGGGTAGTGACCGAAAGAATGAGATCTTGCATATAAGCGGCTGAAATGAGTTTCATCCACGAGGTGGTTGGGCTCAGCCTTATAGATAGGGTAAGGAGCTCGGACATCCAGAGGGAGCTCAGATTGGAGCCGCTGCTTTTCACGTCAAAAGGGATCAGTTGAGGTGGTTCGGGCATCTGATCAGGATGCCTCCTGGGTGCCTCCCCCTGAAGGTGTTTCGGGCACATCCCACTGGTAGGAGGCTCCGGGGCAGACCCAGAACACACTGCAGGGATTACATATCTCATCTGGCCTGGGAACACCTTGGGGTCCCCCAGGAGGAGCTGGAAAGTGTTGCTGGGGAGAGGGATGTCTGGGGCACTTTGCTTGGCCTGCTGCCCCCACGACCCAGCCTCAGATAAGTGGATGAAAGTGGATGGATGGATGGATGATATTTTTAATGTGACTCTGCCTTATTCAGTGTTTTTACAAGTTTAAATTACCTGGTCTTTTTGTTCTGGAGAGGAAGTGACCTCTACAGATAATTTAGCTCCCAGTTAAAACCCCCCGAAATGAAGTAATTCTAACCAGGAGAGGTTTCAGCTGGTTGCTATCTGCATTTCTCACCACTAGATGTCACTAAATCCCCCTAAATCTTACATGCTGTTGCTTTAAGGTGTGATATTTGAAAATTAATTCAAAACAGTCTGTTGTTAATATAAAAAAAAATGATAATATAACAAAGCAAACATGTGTTTACCAACTGCTCCTTAGAAACACTGAAATCATTCCAGAAGACAGTTGGGTCTCAGGTCACAGCACTCATGTCTAGCAGACACCTCACATTACTCCTAACACCTTACACCACATGTCAACAGCCATCAGGCTGAAAATAACCTTTCTCATACTCCAATCAAAGACAACTGTTTCAAATATTGCATAGCTTTGCAGACAGCAATGACAGAGACGCATTGGGCGGAGCTGAGACTGGACATTTCGCCACTGTCAGTTGACCTGAGTTAGCTATAAATGTGAAGGACAAAAGGCAAACGAGCTCAGCAGAGACGGATGTCTACGCCACTTCCTTCATCAGAATACCATGATTAAGCAAATACACTGTACACACATAGTGGAAATGAGTGTCTGCTTAGTCTGTTAAGAGTGAGTGCGTCATCTAGAGCTGAATATTTTAAAGTGAGAGATCAAATCTGGTGAGAAAGACAAAAGATTATAAAAGGTACTGAATAGGAGGATGTGACTTACTTCCAAATCAATCATGAGTTCAATGAATCTCTCACAGTAATGCACTTTATCCATGCATGCAGGCCCTATGGAAAAGGAGGGAGGAAATCACTGATCACTAAGTATCAAGGAATGCATGTTGTCAGTGACAAAAGCAATCTGACAGACAAGCAGACATGATTATATGAACATACAAGACCAAAAAAAAAGATATGAAATGATAAGATAACGATAAGATGTAGCAGTGCAAAGGAGGTGTAGCTATCACAAGGACAAGAGGGCAGCAAACGAATGTGGACAACACCAAGGTGCCATGTTGAGTGTGTGAGCCTCACTATGAGATACTGCATTGCCAGCACAGCGGCATGCTGGAACCTCAGCCCTCATTAAGCATGTTAGTGTGTACGTGCATGCATGTGCTTAAAGCTGAGGCATACAGCACACATTAGAGTGATGTGGATCCCGCTGGGCTTTGGATTGTAATCTACCCTGTCAGGTTTGAATTCTACCTAAACACACAAATACACAAGGTCTGTTTTTAGCATTCAGGTGGGGGGCCTCTGTGTCGGCCTGCATTACAACATAGTAGTCAGCGCCGGTGGCTGTATGGCAGCTGAAGCACATGCTCCTTCGGCGGCTGCACGACTCGGAAAGAAAGGGAGCAGTGCAACTGAAATAGTGATTAAAAAAAGGGTGATATTGTGTTTCATACTGGACTGAATACATGTGCTCTCTGACACTCTGCAAGCTCGAGAAAATCCTGAGAACATTAATCATGCTGGGAAAAGGTAGAGAGAGCACATGCAAAGACCTGCTTTGGGAGCAAAGTCACAGGGAAAGTCACCCAGTATCATTAATTTTACTCAATATTTGGGGGTAGAAATCCAAACCAGGGATGCACCTTTTTTGTTTATTCATATCGGACTGAAAGAATGGTCATTCTTCTTGCTGAAGTTATTCCATGTTAAGTAGTTGCACACAACACTATGACATCCCAAAGGAAATTACCTGATGGCGGAATTGACATGAGAACTCCGAGAAACTTTTTAATGAGAGCTGAGAGGAAGGTCCTCTCTTTTTTTGCCCTGGAAAAAGACAAAAAGAAAGCGAATCAGTTGGAAACTCATAGGACACAAAACACAATTTCCAAGTCTGTATAGATCTGAACACGCAAGCAAAGAAAATTATATTACTGCTCAGCTGCGTCAGCATCCATCTTATCAAATTTCTTCGTGATTAGATTCCAGAACTTCTGCAGCTTTGGAACTTTCCTCAGCTCGTGCTGGAGTCTGGACTGCAAACATGACAGAAGCAAATCAGTAAAGAGACAGTTTTATCTAAAGATTAGTGTCAAAGCAAGGAGATAATTCTCTCCAATGAAATTATCAAGCGTCATTACTTTGTGTGCCAATGACCACCAGAAAAACTTAATTGGGGTAATAGGTTGGAATCTTACTGGTAGGAGGCACATCCACATGGGCAGGGAGATGAGCTGCTGCACCTGCTCTCTGATCAAATCAACCTCCTGGGAGGGAGGCGCACAAAGAGAAAGAGGGAGGGAGAAAGAGAGTTGTCAGAATGCATTGTGTATGACAGATTTTTATTACACTTCAGCCCATAATAAAAGTCTGCAACTAAAATATTTAGTGGGCTTTATAGGATACAATCAAAGTGCAGCAGGCTATCGCAGCAGATTTTAAAGTGAGACATCTGCAGTGCTTCCCTGTGGTTTAATGCGGCTGCAGAGGATACAGATGGGTGGGAGACGCTGACCCCAAGTTGTACTGTCTGGTGTGCTACTGCCCCCTAGTGGACATTACAAACAACTGCCTTAATTTCTACATATATCTTGGGCAACAGGGCATTTTGGCCTGACCTGTTTAAAATGAAACCCTCATTCTTCAAAGTCTCATGCACATTTCTTGGGATCATATTTGGAGTAACGATAGAATGTTTAACGCTTCCCCTTCATCTTTCAGAGTACAACCCCAACTCCAAAAGAAGGTGGGACACTATGTAAAACTTAAATAAAATCAGAATGCAATGATTTGTAAATCCTGTCTGACCTAGATTTAATTGACGGCAGTACAAAGACTGATAAACTCATACTTAACTTAAACTGATAGTTTTTCGTAAATACACACTCATTCTGGATTTGATGTCTGCAACACCTTTCCAAATAGTTGGGACAGGGACAATAAAAGACTGGGAAAGTTGTGGAACATTCCTCAGATAAACAGGTTACCTGGTGACAAATGATATAACCATGGTTGGGTATGAAAGGGACATCCTTAAAAGGCTCAGTTGTTCACAAGTAAGGACGGTGCGAGGTTCACAGCTTTGTGAAAACCTGCATGAACTGCAATAGTTCAACAATTTAAGAATAACGTCTCTGAACACACTGTTGCAAAGAATTTTAGGATTTTACCGTCGACAATCTATAATATCATCAAAAGATTTAGAGAATCCGGAGAAAGCTCTGCACTTTAGAGGCAAGGCTTAAAACAAACAGTGAACGCCTGTGACATTTGACCCCTCAGGCGCTACTACATTAAAATCCAACATGATTGTATAAAGGATATTACTACATGGGCTTGGGAACACTTTGGAAAATCAATGTCAGTAGACACCGTTTGTCACTACATCTACAAATCCAAGTGTAAATTGAAAGCCATTTCTCAACAATATCCAGAAACACAGCCACCTCCTCTGGGCCCGACCTCATTGGAGATGGACTGACACAAAGTAAAAAAATGTGCTGTGGTCCAATTTTCAAATTTTGTTTGGAAATCATGGACAAAGTGTCCTCCAGGCGAAAGGGGAAAAGGACCATCCAGACCGTTACCAGCACAAAGTTCAAAAGCTAGCATCTGTGATGGTATGGGGGAGTGTTAGTGCCTATGGCATCATGGCTAACTTCACATCTGCTCTGTTAATGCTGAAAGGTACATGCAGGTTTTGGAGCAACATATGCTACCAACCAGACAACGTCTTTTTCTGGGATGCGCCTGCTTATTCCAACAACACAATACCAAGCCACATTCTGCACATGTTACAACAGCGTGGCTTCTTAATAAAAGAGCGCGGGTGCGAGACTGGCCTGCCTTCAGACCAGACCTGTCTCCCATTTAAAATGTGCGGCACATTATGAAGCGCAAAATATGACAACAGAGACCCCAGAATGTTGAGCAACTGAAGTCATATATCAATCGAGAAGGGGGAAAGAATTTCTCTCTCAAAACCTCAACATTTAGTGTCCTCAGTTCCCAGTCGCTTACTGAGTGTTGTTAAAAGAAAAGGTGATGTCACACAGTGCTAAACATGCTCCTGTCTGAATTTTTTGGAACATGTTGCAGGTATCAAATTCAGAATGTGTGTATATTTCCAAAAGACAATAAAGTTGATCAGTTTGAACATTAAATATATTGTCTTTGAACTGTATTCAATTGAACATATGTTGACAAGGACTTGCAAATTATGGGAGTCTTTTATACATTTTACAAAGTGTCTCTGCTTTTTGGGGGTGTATCTGACAAACTGTGGCTTTATATCCCTGGACAATTGTTCACAGCATTTAAATATACCACAGTAAAATAAGTAATCAAAAAGTTCTTATATTCAACCATATTTGAAATCAGTGCTTAACATCTTCATTTTCTCTAGACATGCCCTAATAAACACTGCTCTTTGCTTTCATGGTGATGTGATAAGCAATACAGATTTTTTTAAACAAACCTGTGTAACCCATATATATGAGAAGCCATTTTACTTAAACCATTTAACTATTGTAATCAAAATACGAGCTGATTATTTCAAGTAATCTCGGAATTAATGTGAATACATCCTTACTGACCCTACAGGCAGCGTCATAACAAAGTTACAAACTCCTCCTCTGAGTCAAGATATTGAGTATTAGTGTAGTGCTACACACCAGACTGTTGAAACAGTGATCCAGGAAGACCAGCAGCACGGTTTGTTCCTTCAGAGTGAGGCCGACCTGTTCGCCCGCTAATACAGCTTCCATCACACATTTGAAGAAGAAAGGGAAATGGCTGGGGTCCTTCTTGAACACCTGGTGCACACAATTCAAAAGACAAAATGATAAGTAACTCATATGGTGTCTCCAGAGACTGAGATCACCATGCCATGACAATTAGACTAAACATAAATGTGGCACTGAATTTCTTACCTCCCAAGCTGGGACATTCTCTCTGAACTTCTCGTTGACGATGCAGCAGATGGACATGAGGTAAGCCTTGCTGGACACCTCTGGAGTGTAGTTCACCCACAGGTAGTTCTCAAGATACTGGCTGAAAGGTTAAAGTAGTGTATGAATATCTATCCACAATGATGTGCTACCACTTTTTTAATTGACTGCTAAATAAAAACAGGACATAAGAGGAAGTGACATATCCTACCTGAACTCAAGCAGCATAATTTTTCTGATGGCGAATCTGAAAATGTAAGGGAGAGAAGACGATAGAGTGAGATAAGTAACTACAAAATGTGTTCACTGAAGTAAACACAGCAGTTTACAGTAAAGATGACATGTATTCACTTACTTGGACTTGAGAATTTCTTTATCGTAGACATCTTCCATCACCTACACAAACAGCAAAGATTGTTAAAATTCTTGGGGGTTAATACAAACACAGACGACCCGCATCACAAAGCTAAAAACGTGTGTTTAGGTAGAAATGACTGACTGGTGAAAGCAACCCTTTACACCTCTGTATTAAACTAAAACAGTACAGCATGTCTACATGTATCAGATACCTACATTTCATGCTTTTTAAGACCTTTTCAAGATCTTTTTTAAAACCAAATTTAATACTTATTTTTTTTGGGCAAATCATATTTTTCTTTTTCAAAGAATTGCAGGTAAGTATAAATGTAAGAACATATATGTGGTCCAGTGCAGAGGTAGCTTCTATTAAGGAATGTGGTTATTAGAGTGAGCTGCCAACAGGTAAGTGCAAGTATAAAGTAAAAAGACAGTATTCGATTCAGTGGTAGGTTTAAAGAATTTTATAACATCTGAGGTGTGTACATTCACAGAGCAGAGCTTGAGACATTTTTGACAAAAAAAAGAAAATATATATATCAGATAAAAAAACAAATGTAAAAAATATGGCATTAAAAACAAAAAATGAAATTAGGTTATTTTTTTGTGGCAATTAAAACCTAACAAATTGAAATTTAAGACTATTTAATGACATTTATGGCCTAAAATTTATAATATTGAATTTAAAACATTGTAAGACTTTTTAAGGACCTGTAGACACCCTAAAGCAACTAACACTATGATAAACACAGTATATGGAGCATGTATTTGCAACTTCTTTCTTAAAGTAGTTCAGCTACAAAAACTAAATATACCTTTGAAACCTCTGAGATTCAGCAATGCATATAACTCACCTTGGCATCAAAGGGCAGTTTGTTCTTTGCATGAGGTGCCCAATATTTATTAGCCAACTGAAATAAGAAATAAGTAAACACATGAAGAATAATAATCATGACAGCATCAGCATACAAAAGTTCATAAAGCAAAACGAAAGTTGATACAAATGATTCCTTAAAAAGCTGTAGACGTAAGGAAAATTAATAAGTTAGAACTAGATATATACTTTTGGCGTTTCCTGGTTTGGATGTTAGTGGTTCACTAGAGAACTATCTAAAAGCAAAAATTCAACATATATTCACTCTTCACTTCTAGACTGACCATTATGTGATCCAAAACACAAACACCCATGTCATCTGTCACAAGTACACTCCTCTCATTTGCCATCATTTTCCCCACCTCACACATTGGGACTTTTTGAACTGTATGTGGTAGGATCTTCTATACGGGCATAATTTAGGTACACTTGACAGAGATACTTGATTACAGAAAGATGCACAAAACCGAGTGCATGTGAGCAGATGTCTGTAAAACATATGGAGTGTACATACAAAACAGCATGGGACAACGTACTTCAACACACAGTACAGGACCACATATGTAGTGTACATGCAGAATGCTTACCTGTGTGACATATTCGGCATTTATCTGAGACACAGAAGGCGCTGCAGCCTTTTTAGCGGGGGTTTCTTTCTCCGTGGTGGCCATCTCTAACAGCTACGATGAAAGACTAACAAAGAGAGAAATAATTTATTGTATCAAAGTGACCGTAGCTACTCAATGAAACCAACAGGCTTTGGACTTAGCTATGTGTACTGAGCTCGTACCTTACACCAATGGACTCAATATAACGTTAAGCAAGTATGGTGCTGAGAAAGTTAGCTAGCTAGATTAAAAACTTCAGTAGGTCATATTAGTGAAAAGTGTGTGCAATTCTTAACACTACAATTACGTACATGCCTTTTTGGTACTTTAACCAAACGCAGTATGAATATGTGCACAGAACGTATTATTATTAGCATAGCGTCGTGAAACGCTAACATGAGTAAACGTTAGCTATTTTGAAAAACCAGGAGTTGAGCTAGGCTAATTAGTAGCACTCACAGGCTAACACTGAAATAACTTTCAACGTTTAAGTTACTGTTAGCCTCACTGTATAAATAAATATGTGATAATAATTAAGTACGCTCACAAACCTTCAAGTTTAGTTCAGCATGAGTGTAACTGTCGGTAGACAGCCGGTTACGCATGTACACAACCAAAACGCGCTGGACGCGACCCACTTCCGGAATGGGTACGTCGCTAAAATCGTCCCCAGGTACAAAGTCTTCCGTTCCTACTGTTAACGTTGTTTTTTTTTTAATTTCTCAAAAACAACTCAAGTCTCAACTAAAACTGGAAAAGAGTTTTGTAAAATAATATCATAATATTTTTTTGACATATTTTCACATCCAATTCAATGTGCAGTTTAAACAAATTCAGCAAGAGGCGATATAAAATATCATGAAACATGTTTAATTCATCAAATACTTAAAATATACAAGTCCATATTATACATCTTCTGCATATTATACATACAGCATACAAAAACACAACTGTACAAATAAAACCAACATTACACAGTAAAAATGCAAACTATCAGTGAGTCAGTCTGTGTTTTCCAATATGTGCTGCCTGACTGAACGTCTTGCCACAGATGTCACAACTGAACGGCCTCTGACCTGTGTGGATAACATAATGCCTTTTCAGTTTAGAGGGAGTCACAAAACGTTTGAAGCAAATGTCACAGCGATTCTTGTCGGCTGGCTTTGTCATTTCAGGTTGAGCATGAGTTGAACAAACATGTTGTTTGAGATCGCTTTGACTCTTAAAACTTGTGATGCAATTGCCGCATTCGAACACAATTATCGGTTCGGACCAGTAATCATCCGGCTGCATTTGATTCTCAACCACAGGACTTGGGAGTTCATCACCGAGCAGCTTGTTGCTATCTGAAATAGCTGCAACTCCTTTCGGCGCCAGCGGACATGTTGTTTCTACAGTATGTGCATTGCTTTCATACTGTTGCAACAAAGGTGCCATGTTTTGATTTTGGACAAGCTTATTTATTTCAGATGCAAGATCAGAGGGGAATGAATAACTGTAACTGTCTGTAGCTTGATGACAATTGTCTCTCTGCGTTTCCTCTGCTTTTCTCTGCTCCTCCTGGGAGCCTACTTCTGGCACCGCCAACCACTCAGTGTGTCTTGCCTCTGCACAATAAGATAAATCTCCATCACTTAAAGAGTAATGACCAACACTTGTGTAATGTGACTCCGGCTGCTCTTTTGTTGCATCTACATTAAAATCTATAAGGTTTACACTGCATGTATCCTGGAGATGGTTAGGAATTTGTATTTGTTCTTGAATACAATCAAACATCTTGCTACTCTGTCGGCATTTGTGTTCGTGAGTTTTTAGATGACTGTGCTGTGTGAAGGTTTTGCTGCACAGGCTGCATTTGTACGGCCTCACCCCAGAGTGAGTGACCATGTGTCTTGAGAGCTTGGTTGGAGCAGGAAAGCTCTTAAAGCATATTCGGCATGTGTGAAGTTTCTTTTCTTTACAAGCTACGTTACTTTTAGCTTTTGTCTTTAAGAGACCGTTCGCTTTTGCACTCACTCCATTACCTTCAGCACAATCAGAATGTGACACTGTATTGTGTGTGTTTGCAGATTTTTTCTTCTGAGGGATACGAACACTGATTCTTGGGTAAAGCTGCGGCTGACAATGTGCTTTCTCTTTTCTGCTGTTCCCCTGCTGATTGACTGGCTTGGGTGGTTTGCCCTTACAGGTACTTCCTTCATGAATTTTTAGATGCCCAGCTTGCCTGAATGCTTTCCCACACCCAGCACACTGAAATGGCTTCACACCTGTGTGCACCATTTCATGCCTTTGTAATTTAGAGGCACACGGAAAACACTTTAAACACCGGGAGCACTGGTGTCGCAAGATGCCGGGATTTTGCGTTGACTTAGGGATCTGTTTCCTTTTCGCAGTCATGTTAGAAAAATTTCGCACAACCTCATTGTTCTTAGAGGTATGTGGCAACAACTTATCTGGTTCTCTGTTACTCTCAATAATTACTACAGAAGAGGTCTCATCTAAATGTTTCACAGAGACTACATAGCTGCCAGTGTGTGTCTCAAAGTCCTTCTTGTCTGCTAACATTTCCTGGAGTGAGACGTCTGCTGCAGTCCTTGTGTTAAACCTGCCTCTACGAGACGGCGGCCGATTGATATACAGCGATCGTTGTTTGGGATATCTAGACCGCAGGTGTGAGCGACAATGGACCCTCAAGTGTGATTTCTGACGAAATCTCTTTTCACATGTCTCGCAGGCAAAGGGCCTTTGTCCAGTATGAGTCATCGCATGCCTCTGAAGTTTTGATGCGGATGGAAAATATTTTAAACATGTATGGCATTGATGTAAAGGTTTAATTCTCTGCCGCTCTCTGGTGGCACGGCAGGTTTGCCTCTGCTGCTCTGCTGCTGTGATTAACTCAGAATCCTGAGGAAGCGAGTCACTGTAATCACTGCCATTTGGACTCCATGTTTCTGGTTTAACGATGATGTTCAAGTCGATGGGTTCAGGTGAATGTTTCATTGCGTCAGAATCAGACATCCTATCATTGCTGTTTTGCACAGAGGTACGACCTCCCAATTCTTTCTGGTTCCTGTGAATTTTACGATGACGTATTAAATTGACTCTTAGCCGAAACGATCTGCTGCAAATCGCACACTGGAATGGTTTTAAGTGTTCACGTGTTGAATGTTGCTGCTCTTGTTCATCTGACTTATGATGAATACTCTGACACGGACCGCTTGTATTTAATGGTTGCTCTTGATTTACGACTGCCTCTGACTTGATTTCAGTCGTGTTCAGATCCTGCACTGCATTTACACTTATTTTACACTGGAGCTCCAGTTCCATTGAGGAATTCGTGCAAGGGCGATGGCTGGTGGGCCGCTGTTGCGTTGCTGACTGAGGCTGCAGACCTGAGCTTTGTCTGCTATGACAAAACCGCTGTTGTTTCTTTTCAGTGCCGGCAGTAAGTGGGCATCTATTTGGACTATTTAAATGACACTGTAAATGTTCCTTCTGTCTGAAGGATTTGAAGCAGTTCTTACAAGAGTAGGGTTTCTGCCCCGTATGAATAAGGAAATGCCGTTGTAATTTGGATGGTGTGCAGAAGGTTTTCAGACATTTATGACACTGGTGTTTTAAGGTAATTTTGCCTCTGCCTGAGCTCAATTTTTGTGTCTGCAGGTGCCCTTTTGAATAACCCTGTTCAGAAAAAGTCTTGCTTGACTCTCTACCCGTCTCACGTTGTTTTGGTTTGTTATGAGTTGGTGCGTGAACCCAAAGCTGAAGAGATGAGCTAAATGACTTCAAGCAGACTTTGCAGATGTATCCCCTGCTGGCAATGCGTACAGATGTGTCCCCATTTGCAGAATCAACTTGCGTCTGAGGTACTGCATCCAGAGTCACTGAGCCATTATTTACACATGGCATATTTTCAGAGGACGGAAGAAAAATGTTGTCAGTCACAATTTCCCTTTTCTGTTCCATATGGGAGGCCACAGAAGATGATACAGGCACAGGCATTGGAGTGTAGTTACTTCTGCCATGTGTGTTAATCCCTGCAGCTGGATTATCACATTTTGGGTGTTGGTCACGAGTTAAAATTCCATCCTGTAGATCCTGAGGTCCCGATGGAGGCCTTGAAGGATGGACTTTCTGCTTGTGCAGTTTTAGATGATGAGACTGTGAGAAGGCTTTTCCACAGATCGTGCAGAGGAAGGGCCTCTGGCCAGTATGGATGACATAATGTCTCTTAAGTTTAGATGGCGATGGGAAAGACTTTGAACAAAGATGGCACTGATGCAACTTCATCTCAGCAACTTCTCGAATTTCCCCCAAAGTGGCGATCCTCTCATTCGACCTAGAACAAAGTACATGGCATTAGACGTAAAGCCAGCATTAAGTAACTTAAACTAACCTCGATATAATTATAATAAACAGTCAAATATAATGACTTATGTTAATGAACTTCGAAAACAGAAACGTAACTTAATATTCCTTATATGTATAATATCAACAATATATTACTGCAACTCGCAGTACGATAATCTCCAAAGCCTTTAACAATAACCGCCATTACACACTGCTAACACAACAATTCGAAATAAGCGTTTACAAAAACGTCGGAACTGGCTAGCAGTCCTCGCTCTGATGGGGTATAAGTCAAAAAACACTTACTATATACTTCCTAAGTCCTACTACAACGAATGTGTTTATTGTGAGCTGTAAATGTCGGTGTTCTGTTAGCTTTCTTGCTAACGATGCAACATTCTGTGACGTCAAGCCGGAACTCAGACATGTGCGTCACTCTAAAAGGTACGGCGGGCAACACAGATATTTAGTTCCTATCCGGAGCGAGGAGACATTTTATTGATTTAATTTTCTCGATATTCATGTTTTTATTAGAAACAAAACAGTCATAAAACTTAAAACTATAATGCTAACGTGCTTATAGCCTGTCACGTATTCTTAGCAAATCTGCTTGAAACAATCATTCTAATTGGTTGGTTGTTACACTAAACACAAAAGTGAAATAAACTGTCATAGCCTATTCTTTGTTTTTTATGTGCAGTGGGATCCAAAATCTTTTGCAACAGGCTTTGTCATGAGTTGTCTCAAATCTGACAATAGGTAGCTACATACATCAAACCTTGGAGAATGGGCCTTCAGTGATTCCCAACTTGGAGGTTTGCTTGTATTCACAGAACAATAGCATCTGTAGCAAAATTATTATTCCAAATAAACTATAATAAACTATTACATTTGTTGAATTTAATAATTTATTTTCTTTGGTATTTTTTGTGATGAACAGGTATGCAATTTTCATGTGCTGATATTCTTGACCTGATTCTTTTTCTCTGCATGCTGTTGTAGGTCGACCTGAGAACCTCCCTCCACATGACCATGTGACCTCTAGCATCTCATAAATGCCCTCCTGGGCCACTCCCACTCTCTCCATCTTCCTTGGCAGCAGCACTCTGTCCACCTCTATTTTGCCTCTTTTGTTCTGTTATTTTGTTTCATTTGACAATAAAATTTATTTGACTAAGCATATTTTGTTGACTACTCTGTTGCTCCCCTGAGCTGGGGCATAACATATTGGAGCTTTGTTGTAGCTTTAGTCTTCATGTGGCTTTTGGTAGGCATTTACGCACTGGAAACCAGCAGGCTTGTAAAGCGACCTGCAATCCTACAGACGTTCTCCAGAGACAATTGCCCATAAGAAACTGACACTAACCATGTTGCCACAACACTACAAAAAAAAACAAAAAAAAAACTGATGCAACCTAAAGGGGAAGCACCATACAACCTAGCAGGGATAGAAAAACAGTGATTTATGATCAATGACCATGTACATGGGACCTCCAGAACTCCATGTCAGTAGGCTGTTTCTGCAACTTTGGGTTTATGGAAGCAACTTTATTTAATAGCAAAGTTGTTTATTTTTGAGAATTGAATTTTTGTATTACTGAGCAGTGCATATTGGTGACTAAACTGGTCTGTCTCCCAACAAAACCGGATACCAGAGCAAAGGCACAACACAGAGCACACAGCCAAAACCAGCACATAGCTGAACCAAAGTACCTAACCGGCAAGTGCAATGGAGGATGTGCCTGTTGCTACTAAAGGTACAACACACTCAGCAACATTCAACCTTAATGGACAAGCTTTCAATTGTCACATGAGGTAGCAACACAACCAAACTGGGCCAAATCACCACAAAGCCGTCTTACCTGTCGTCTTACCAACATGGTGAATTTTAGCTTTGGACAGCCCCCACTTCTTACAACCCAGCTCTTACACTGCAACAAGGACAGGAGACAAGTTTACAAAAAGTTTAGAACTTATTTATTTACAAAATAATGATGAATAAATGTGAAAGTCACTAAACAGTCATATGGGTGTATGGGTGTGAGGAAATGTCTGTAGACAACACAACTGAACAGCAGCTGTGCTGTGAGGGAAGAGGCAGAAACTGCTGAAAGGTGGTGAGCTTTATATCATAAAGCACATTGGCCCAGGTGTGGCTCATGATGTCAACGATGACCCTCCACCTTGACCCGCATCCTGTGACAAAAGAGACCAGCCAGGAAAACAGGCACACCTAGTGGAGCGGAGGGGTCGTCACACAATGATGATTGCTGGCTAATACGTATGTTAATGTTATCCAGTGTCAAGTCTCTGATCATGTGATGAGACGATATGTGCATGATAGCCTACATTACTGGGCCCATCATAATAGCATCCATTGGGGCCAAACGTAACTACCTTATGCCACTGCTCCACAATGTGCCACTGACATTGCCGACTTTATTGTAATAATGCCTCTATAAAGTACTGCATGTGGTCATTGGCCAGATACTTTGAACACTTTGTATTATAAATTGACATTTTGTGGCATTGATCTCAGCCTGTGAACCTTTTTTGTAGCTGACCAGCTCAGTTGAATTGGTGTGTGGATATTTCTTCTGCCATCCTCTCTTGACGCACCTCAGATAAACTTTTTTGTTGCCCTAAGAAGGCACAGTTTCACAGCAGCCCTAAGACTAACTAAGTAGGCCCATGCAGGTCAGGTGTTCCCAAGGGTGTTTCTAGGATTTAAGGACTTTCAGGGCTCAGCCTAGACTTCTTTTAGGTGGCCTGGGGGTCCTCCCCTGGAACTTTTTATCTAATAAACAAGTGATGCTTTGTTGTGCATTCTGGCAATGCTGTTAGCAGGCAGGTTCACAGTCCTCCTCCCCTGTTAACTGACGGCGTCTCTGGTTTGACATGGCATTTTTCCATTTCTCATTTAAACCATACGTTCCCTCTGATATGTTAATTTTGATCCTCAAACCTTTATTTCTTATTCTATAAACAATTCTGAGGTCTGAGCTGGTGGGTTTGCTCCTCTATGCTGCGCCAAGTGTTTGTTTGTGCTTGGTTCTGGCAATTTACACACACACACACACACACACACACATATATATATATATATATATATACAGTACAGGCCAAAAGTTTGGACACACCTTCTCATTCAATGCGTTTTCTTTATTTTCATGACTATTTACATTGTAGATTCTCACTGAAGGCATCAAAACTATGAATGAACACATGTGGAGTTATGTACTTAACAAAAAAAGGTGAAATAACTGAAAACATGTTTTATATTCTAGTTTCTTCAAAATAGCCACCCTTTGCTCTGATTACTGCTTTGCACACTCTTGGCATTCTCTCCATGAGCTTCAAGAGGTAGTCACCTGAAATGGTTTCCACTTCACAGGTGTGCCTTATCAGGGTTAATTAGTGGAATTTCTTGCTTTATCAATGGGGTTGGGACCATCAGTTGTGTTGTGCAGAAGTCAGGTTAATACACAGCCGACAGCCCTATTGGACAACTGTTAAAATTCATATTATGGCAAGAACCAATCAGCTAACTAAAGAAAAACCAGTGGCCATCATTACTTTAAGAAATGAAGGTCAGTCAGTCCGGAAAATTGCAAAAACTTTAAATGTGTCCCCAAGTGGAGTCGCAAAAACCATCAAGCGCTACAACGAAACTGGCACACATGAGGACCGACCCAGGAAAGGAAGACCAAGAGTCACCTCTGCTTCTGAGGATAAGTTCATCCGAGTCACCAGCTTCAGAAATCGCAAGTTAACAGCAGCTCAGATCAGAGACCAGATGAATGCCACACAGAGTTCTAGCAGCAGACCCATCTCTAGAACAACTGTTAAGAGGAGACTGCGCCAATCAGGCCTTCATGGTCAAATAGCTGCTAGGAAACCACTGCTAAGGAGAGGCAACAAGCAGAAGAGATTTGTTTGGGCCAAGAAACACAAGGAATGGACATTAGACCAGTGGAAATCTGTGCTTTGGTCTGATGAGTCCAAATTTGAGATCTTTGGTTCCAACCGCCGTGTCTTTGTGAGACGCAGAAAAGGTGAACGGATGGATTCCACATGCCTGGTTCCCACTGTGAAGCATGGAGGAGGAGGTGTGATGGTGTGGGGGTGTTTTGCTGGTGACACTGTTGGGGATTTATTCAAAATTGAAGGCACACTGAACCAGCATGGCTACCACAGCATCCTGCAGCGACATGCCATCCCATCCGGTTTGCGTTTAGTTGGATGATCATTTATTTTTCAACAGGACAATGACCCCAAACACACCTCCAGGCTGTGTAAGGGCTATTTGACCAAGAAGGAGAGTGATGGAGTGCTGCGGCAGATGACCTGGCCTCCACAGTCACCAGACCTGAACCCAATCGAGATGGTTTGGGGTGAGCTGGACCGCAGAGTGAAGGCAAAGGGGCCAACAAGTGCTAAACACCTCTGGGAACTCCTTCAAGACTGTTGGAAAACCATTTCAGGTGACTACCTCTTGAAGCTCATGGAGAGAATGCCAAGAGTGTGCAAAGCAGTAATCAGAGCAAAGGGTGGCTATTTTGAAGAAACTAGAATATAAAACATGTTTTCAGTTATTTCACCTTTTTTTGTTAAGTACATAACTCCACATGTGTTCATTCATAGTTTTGATGCCTTCAGTGAGAATCTACAATGTAAATAGTCATGAAAATAAAGAAAACGCATTTAATGAGAAGGTGTGTCCAAACTTTTGGCCTGTACTGTATATATGCCTCAGTGTTTTGGCAGGTTTAAAAAATGTAAGAATGTTTCCTTTCAGGAGTAACACAGACGGCAATATGATTCCATTTTGTGCTGCGTTGAGATTTGGGGTACTGGTCTAGTGTTTGGTCTGTGACCCTTGTTTAGTCTGGCAAAACCCAGAGTAACCACAAACCCTGTTGAATGTACTTCTGGTTCTATAGTTTTCATACCAGTGGTTGTTGATATTTTCTGGACATTTGATATTTCTATAGTGAATGGCAGAATCAAACAGGAGGTGTCCATATGTTCAAGGATACGGCACAACAGGATTTCATGCTGTAAACTATTTGACTTGTCCAGCAGAAGTGAAATTGATTAGTCACTTGACAAAAATCAATCACAATCTTTTTTGATGATCGATTGTTATTCAAAACAGTTTTGAAAAGATGGAATATGCACAGGAAACTATCAAATTATACCCCAAAATTTAAAATTAAAGACACTTAACAATATGGTAGAAATAAAGCTGAGCTGTTAGGTAATCAGAAATAAAAAAAATTCACACACAGGCAACCATTAATTAAAATTATAGACAAAAAAATAAAACAGTAAAAATGCCAAAATCAAGAAATGTTTAGCATGAGTAGATGAGGGATAAATGTTATTATTTGTAGTTCTAATACTTCATTTA